GCCAAAAGCTACTTCAAACCGTTGGATTGTAAACTGTTGTCCAAATTGTTGGATAGCTTCTTATATCTCGTTATGAAGAAAACGATTTGTTTATTTTTAACCAAAAATATTGATATATGAGCAAAACCCAATTTTTGAAGTAAAGAGAATCCAATACAATTATATTATAAAACAAGCAATAGATAGAAATTATTTCATGAAAAAGTTAGTAGAAAAAGAAATTGGACGTCATGACTGACAAAAGCCCATGTCTATAAAAGCATAAGAAAAATACAAGAAAAAATCGATCGAGGGAGAGACATTACTAAATGATTTGAATTTAATTTTCTATTTATGTAACCAAAAAGATAAGTAAATATACTGGATTTTGTTCAAATATATCACCCAAAAAACTAATCCTACAAATAAAAAAGTAGTATTGTTTTGATTTTTGTTTGTTTAAGAAAATCATATTTGATAGTCTGCTCTGAACTAGTCAAGGAGATGATAACATCAAGTGTCAATAAAGCCAGAATTAACATATCCCTACCTTTGTGTAATCAATTCTAAAAGTGATGTCGGTTAGACCACGAATCAATCCATTGAAACACCATTACATATAAGCATCATTAATATAATGATCACTGCATCATCAAATTACTTAGAACAAGCTATTTTGTTGGTAGTAGGAGAGGATTATGTGGTTTAAGAAAAAAAGAGTAAAACCAGATTAAGAAAAAAGGAGGTATATGTACCACCGTCCAAAACATGTTTTTTAACTTCCTTCTTGGACATACTCTTCGTTTACTTGTTAACCGTGTTTGGAATCAAAACACGCACAACACGTTTGAAAATTTCAGTATATAAATCAAGAAAATCCCAAAAAAGATTAAGGTGATGCTAATATATCTTCTGAGACGTGTTATCATTGCCCGGAAATATAGAAAGCTAATATAGTAATGGATAACAACATTGAAAAGACACGAAAGGAATATTGGTGCAACTTTTAGGTTTCTCGCTCGTCATTGCACTGAAATTAAATGAAGTAAATGAAAATTCAAGTGAAATTGTGAATCACATTTTTTTTTTATAGGGATTGGTGGTTTGGAATTAGTTGTTTGCATCATGACTTTCTTGGTTTGTTGTCTTCTGTGTTAATTTTTATTTATCAATTCATATGTTCAGAGAATGTTGTTTAGTTAGTTAATTAGTTACAGTTTGTAACTTACAAAACATATGTTAAAAATATCGATAGATATAACATTTTCAAGCAACTATTGCAATGTATACAGGGACTCGAATGAAGGTACTTTTTTTATTAATATTAAGATATTAATTGGAAAAACGACATGTATATGTCTAATTATTTATTTTCATGTATATATGCCTATTGACTACTCCATTTCAATGATCGGGAACTATTAAATCCCTTCTCAACCAAACCTGATGATCCTTTAGTACATTCCATTTGATTGGTTATATTTGACCCAACCCTCACGCCACGTAGTGATATGGGTTTGTTTTGGGTCGAATTTAGCCAAATATGTTTCCTCACAATGCCCATATGGAATTCGACCCGACCCATGTTCCAAAGATTAGGATATCTGTTTAAAAATATTTTCTTTTTATTAGTTTCACTTTTTCTATATAATTGATGATGGTCCACTCCATAGAAGAGTGTATAAAACAGTAGATGAGAACACAAACGCACAACCATAGTATTTATATCGATTTTCATTCCTTTTATTATCATCTCAATTCGTTTGGGATAGAGAGGCTTTGGTCAAAGTAAACATCATCTCTGTTATTGTTTATGACCTTCGATTTTGTATCTCTAGTGAGTTAATGATTAGGAATGAGAATATTCACGATGTGTTGCACAATGTAGAGAAATATCATAGCTTTAATGGTATTTACTATTACAAAAAATCATAATAAGGGACTGTTTATTAGTTGCTCAAACACAAGCCACTATCATTTAAAGATTATAGGTATTTTAATAGTCTTCCATAAGCTCTCTAACTGGAATTTTACCTCTCAACCTCATACTTTTGCAGCTTTGCGTGAGAAGCTTGCAACCAAGCTAGCGAATGTAAAGCTAAGAACACAACTCTTCACTACATTAAAGGCCTTTATTCTATATCTATTGTTCCGTAAATCAAACGATCAATATCTCATCTTCTAGGCTCATCTTCCTTCGCATATCAAAGTAAGCTAAACTAAAACCTCAGAAATTTGCGCTTCACTATTACACAGTGCGAGTAGAATTACTAATAGATGCGCTCTCTTCACATGTTTCTCTTCCAGTAGTTAGAATCACACAAGACAGGACCGAAATAGAATTTGGATCTTACTTGCTAGAATAAACACACCTGGTACTATTTCAGTATTTAGGTTTTTAGTTCTATTTAAACAATGTGTGCTCAACAAGAAAACTTTATAATTGCAATCATTGAAGCAGCTGTAGTTTTGAGAAATTGCTCATTTAATTCCTGAAGTATTTGTAATTGGCAAATTTATTCTCCAACTATCATGTGTAGATTAAATCTTCAACTTAGCATTGACTTCGCAAATTTATGCATGAGAAAAGTCAACGTTAATGAAGAAACGGAAACGTTAGCGTTAACTTCTCTCGGTCTAATTTTGCAAGGTCAACATAAACTAGAGGAGTAAATTTGTCAAATTAAAAATTGAGGAATTAATCTATATAATTAGGAAAACTTGGAGAATTAAATAATCATTTTCTATTTATAAAATTATGATTATTTTCATGAATCATAATTATTTGTAGAATAGCATCAAATACTTTTTTTATTATATTATGTTTTCTAATAATCATAAATCATAATTATTTGTAGAATAACATCAAATACTTTTTAAATTTTTTTTTTATTATATTACGTTTTCTATCTAAAATTTTATTGATATTTAATCAAAATGACAAAATCAGTATATATAACTTTCAAAAAACAAATAACTTAAACAGATATATTTGTCTTTAAAATTCTCTTTTCAAACTTTCACTAATTTGAGTAAAGATCAACATCAAGACATATATTTTGGATAATTTCGAGAAAATTAAGAAAATTTTGAGAAAATTAATAAATATATATATATATATATATATATATATATATATTTGAACAGGTAATTAAGGTATATGATCTTATACCCTTTTTCCCGTACCTGTTTGAATAAAACAAAAAGTCTCGATTGATAGGAGAATAATCATCAGTTGCTAACCAAATACTATCATATACTTAGAAAGATAGGTAAAACCAAGTGAATTTGAGTAACCATACCAATGACCGTATGATAGGAGAATAATCATCGGTTGGTAACCAACAAAATTGTCAGTAAAGAAAAAAATCATCAGAATTAAATACATGTAATTTTATTCATAAGAATAGAAAACATAATATAATAAAATCAATATTTTTTAAATAAATTTAATGGTATTCTACAAATAATCATGATTTATGAAAATAATCATAATTTTCTAAATAAAAATGATCATTTAATTCTTCAAGTTTTTGTCATTGTGCATATCAATTCCCCAACTTTCAATTTGCCAAATTAATTCCTCGAGTTTATGTTGATTTTGCAAAATTGGACTGAGATATAAAGTCAACGGTAACGTTTCTGTTTTCTTCTTTAACGTTGACATTTCTCATGCCTAAATTTACGAAATCAACGTTAAGTTGAGGATTTAATCTGCACACATAATAGTTGAAGAATAAATTTGCCAATTACAAATATTCAGAAATTAAATGAGCAATTTTCCTGTAGTTTTACATTTGTAATCAAGCACCAAGGAAATAAAAGTTCACAGAGGTTGGAGGGATTTTGGTAAGGAAAATAAATCATTATTGACTATGGTAGTACCAAAAATCAATAATATTATATTTGCCTTATTGGAGGGGGATTTCTTGGCATCATATAAATATGTTCTTCATTTGGAGATATTTTGTGATAAAATCTAAATTTTAAAATATACAGGTATATTCGGTATACTGTAACTGGGCCAGAAACCACGGGACAAATATTAGTTAAGTCTGAGCCCACAAAGTTTAATAGTGGACCACTGTCGCATTTGGAGTTTGTCAAGTGGGCCCCTAACATTTTCGTGATTTCGAAGTTGAACCCCATACGTCTTAATAATTAACTTAAGGGACCCACACTTTTGATTCGGTGCCTCCTCCTTCCGAAGGAGTCCCTCTCATATAGAGTCGGAAACAGATTAAAGGAGAAAACAGTAAGGATTAAAAGGAAAAGTAAAGGAGAAAATCAAGTTGTAAAGTTTGACTAAAGGAGAGTATTGAGAGAGCAGATAATCCAAATTCTTATGATAGTTAAGGGAAAAAGTAATGATTGGTTGCGTTAGACATTTCTTATAATTATTATCTTAGGTTTTAACTTCATGATTCCTGATATAGACACAATCCTTATTTTTTTGTTGACTGCTACACAATCCTTATTAGAACTAAAAATTAGCTATATATTCATATTCATTAGTTGAGAAGATATTTTGTAGGGATTTCTTTACATTTACGTCTAAAATTAAAAATTAGTTAATTTTTATGTTTTCAAAACGTTTACATGTTTATAAGTCACTTAAGTGTGATACAACCATATAAATCGTCATCGTACAATACCGAAAGAAATCAAATTCCAATTTGGTGTTGTCTTTTGCTTTGACTAAAATTTTCAACTCATCTTCATCGAACTTGCCTAATTTTAATACCATTCCTTCAAAACTCCAAAACGTCATTATGAGTGGTAGATTTCCATCCACCGGTAGTTTTTTGTTTTCAAAGAAACGGACAAAGAAAAAAAGAAAATTGAAAAATGAAAAAAGAAAAATGGCAAATAGCGACATGATAAATCATAAAATAAATAAAATTCAGAGGTGCTAATTTGGCAAAGCTTTGTGACGTTTATTAAGAAAGTTTTGCACGCGTGGGGCCTTTACTTCCACCATCTCCATCTCTCTTCCATTTTCACAGTATTGACAGATAATCCGTTACTACACTTTTTTACTTGTGACTGAAGAAGAACGAATCATAAATGCTTTTTTACTTGTGACTGAAGAAGAACGAATCATAAATGCATCAATACTGTTTTATGTTTCATATAAAACCCTAACTTCATATTCCAACAACTCAACAGGCCAACACAATACCTCTTGTTATAATTTTTTACCTAACTAAAATCACCACCAAAAAACACTCAAACCTCCTCAAGAAGAATGAATAAATTTTTTTAAAATTAGAATAACTTCAGTGACTTTTCCCCTTTTTTTTTTTTTGGAATTGCAACCGTAGGTCCCTGACAGAATAATATAAACACTAATTGTACACAAATGCTTAAAAAGCACTTCCCAACTCCAAAAAAAATTATGTCATCCCTTGCGATTGTTGTGTTCCGTTTGCTTTTTTTCTTCCGACTCCACCAAAGTCATCATCCCCTTTAGTCTCTCGCCAGCACAAGCTATAAACCGGGAACTTCCCAACCATTCAGAGTCTTTTAAAGTTAACAAAATGGGTCTGTTTTTTTTAAGTGTCTTTTTTCACTCACCCGCTTGTTGCTTCTGATCTACAGGCTTAACCTGAACCGCAGAGGGAACCGCGTGAACATAGGGGAATCCTGGAGGTACAAGCTGATGTTGCTGCGTCTTCCCCATGCCACCACCATTTCCTCCTCCTTTCATGTTATTTGCAGCGGCTGCAGCAGCAGCGATGGCTTTCGTTGGATCTGAAGTGGCTGTGATTGTTCCCGTGGTGCAGCCGGAGAGTGTGACTTGAGGACCCGTGGCGCCACCACCAGCTGCGGCGGAACCTGACTGTTGCTGCTGATGTCTTTGAATGTAGTAACCACCGGAAGGAGATATGGTGATCTGCTGCTGCGGATGTTGATGTTGAGATTGCATGTAAGGATTAGAGAAGAAAAGCTGTGCTTGCGGCTGCAACCCATGCTTTGGCAACTGTTGCTGTTGTTGTTGTTGGGACTTGGATCCGGAGCTCGTGGTGGGGTTTCCGAGAACGGAAGGACCGTTGTTCCTTCCACCGGCGGAGGAAGCTGCGGATGCAGGCTGCAAGTTCTTGGACGGCTGAGATGATGAGTGAGTAGTGGATGAAGCTTGTCCGGCTTTGTTCACCGCTGAGGAAGCGGAAGCGGTTGTTCTCGGGCTTCCGCCGGCGTTTTTGGAGACGGAAGACGTAGAAGGTGACCCAACTAACATCGGCGAAGACGGTGCCTGGTTGTTGTTACCTCCTCCTTGCACCTGCTGCATTGGTGACCCAGAAGACATGGGTTTCGAGTTTGCTGCAAAAGATATCTGAGATTGCTGGGGACGGCTTTGCTGTTTGTGCGATACGTTTCGAAGGGACGATGCAGCAGAAACAGACGAGGATGGCGACAGCATGGAAGGAGACTGAGCTTGGGAAGTGTTGGTCGTCCTTGGTGAATTGTTTTTCCACTGAGGGGACTGCACCTGACTGCTGCTTGACTGGACAAGGTTTTGAGGGAACCCTGCATTGGGATTTGAAAACTTAGCCGTTCCGGCGGGTGATACGGTGATATTGTTGTGATCAGGGAAACCACTCCCGTTACTCGCCACGGGCCCTTTGGTTCTAGCAGCAGAAGCAGCCACTGAAGTTGCATAACGCTGTTGCTTCTGGAGATACATGGTGGAATAAGGTTGCTGTGATTGACTCCGTTGCATATGCTGTTGCTGCTGCTGCTGTTGTTGCATATGCTGCTGCTGCTGCATATGTTGCTGCTGTTGCAGATGTTGAGACGTCTGCATAGAACTGGAACTCTGTGGCAGAGCAGAACCAAGATTGAGCAAACGGGATGTATCAACGATGCTACCACTCGTTACAGCAGAAACAGAAGCATCAGCTAAGTCGTGTTTGCTTGAGAAAGCAATAGACTGCCCACCACTCACACCACTGTTTTTCCCTGTCGCTCCTCCTCCCGTCTTCCTTTGTTCTTCCATCGAGTTAGCAGTAGCAGTAGACCCAGATTTACCATCATCCGAAGGAGCACTGTAGTTCATTTTCTGTTGTGCAGCAACATTCGCAGCCATCATTTGATAGCCTTGCCTCGCTGCTTCCGGAATGCTGTGGAACATAGCGTGATTCTGAGCAATTGATGACATGTTCAGGGAAGCAGGAGCATTAGCCCCGTTGAATGTCGCAAAGGTCATAGCATAGCCCTGGGACTGGAACGGTTCCACGCCAGCCTTTGAAACCTGCTGCTGTGATTTCTTTTCACCATGATTGCTAGAAGATACGACCACTCCACCACCCGGGGCTGCTGAACTCATCAAACCCAAGTTGGTTGGTTGCATCTGATGCATACCATAGTTCTGGCCATAGGCAACATTGGAACGAGATGACCGGCTATCAGCGGTTGATGGGCTATCTTCTCCTACAGTCTCGCTATGTTGAGTCGCGTTTTCTCTAGGTTGCTGCCTCTGCTGGAAACTCAAAGGCTGAGATTGGACTTTATGAGTTGGAAACCCTTGGGAGTTCCCGTGATTAATCGGTGGCCTCAGCTGTTGGTTCTGCAGATGCTTCTGTGCAGCAGAGGAGCCAGAGGAAACACTTCCATTCTGGTTGCTTGGAGCATGGCTCTGGAGCATTTGACCAGCTTGCTGCTGTTGCAGTTGTTGTTGCTGTTGCTGCTTCTGTGGCTGAAGATGTGATGGCTGGATCATTTGGGACGAATAGAACGAACCATTAAAAAATGGTATTGGCTGCCCAGAAGCTCCTCTATAAGCAGGTGGTGCACCAACATGTGCCGGGACAGGAAAAGGATAGCCATTATTCTGCAAGATGGCCAGGTACTGCGTTTCATTGCCTGGCATGCCCGGATAACTGAAGGTCATTGTTGGGGCACCAGCTGGAGTAGCTGATGCAGAACCATTCATGGAGTTAGAAGCAGCCGTCCCACCAGATGAAGCTGTGTTGCCACTATTAGGCGGTCTGACGGATGCAGCAGCTATTGTAGCAGCTGCATGAGGCTGTTGGCCCACGGGGAAAATGAATGTCGGACCATGCTACAATGAAAGAAACGGAAGAAATTAAGAAAAAACAATTAGCTCGATATGAGAAGCATGTTTAGATGGACGACAAAGAAGAAAAAAAAACTAACCATGATGTTATTAGCTGCTCCTGGAGGCAGAGCTTGTTGGAGCAATATTTGATTTCTTTGAGCCGTATCTGAGCTCTTGGAAGTAGATTGAGAGTTCTTATCTTGAACAGGGTTGGAACTTCTTCCCAAGACACTCCCCTGGAGTTCTGTGGGAGGCATGAGACTGAGATTGCAGGCCTTTGTCCCATACAATGGAGCTGAGCCAGCTGCCGCAGGCCAGAAAGGATTCATCTTTGTGAATTGCTGATGAGATTGAATATTACGAGCGATATAGCAGTGAGTTGCACATCTCTTAGGCCTCGGCTGATTAAAGAGTAAATGCGGAGGAGGCTGCAAAAAATCAGAAACTTAGATCAATGAAGACAAATAGAGGGTAGAGACGTTTCTTTGAATCGCACAACAATAATTAAATGAAAAATTTACCTGCATTGCCGCAGATGACAAGGAACTAGTATCCGCAGGCACAACTCCTTGTGTAGATGGCATGTATCTGTTTCATCACAGAGTTTTCCATTAGTTCAAGCGGGGAAAAAAAAAACTAGAAGAAGCAGACTTTAGGAAGCTTCATTTGCTAAAATTAACCAAAAGCATACCCCATTGTAGGAAGGCCACCAGGCCAGCCTGGCATTGACATATGTAGCGGCAAAGGGGCAGCTTGAGCTGGAAATTTTCAGAAGAAGAAATTAAGAAAGAGGGAAACTAGCGCAACTAAATAAACGAAGTAAAACTCAAGAAAAATGAAAATGGCTATTACCTGTTTTCTCGTGAACAGATAACTGTTGTTGGGGTGGCTGTTTCTGAGCATGGTGCTTGTTTAATACACTCGCATGATCAGATTTATCCAAGTCGAGTTTAAGCTCACAATTTCTCTCTGACTTTTGAGGTTCAGCTTCTGCCAACGTTCGAGGCTTCTTTTTCTCTTCAGAATCAAGAATCTTCGCATCGCCACCATCTTCCTCCAGCAGAGACTTTGCTTCCTGCTTCATCATGCATACATAGTTGTGACACAGAAGAGAATTAAAAAGGGGGCCAAAAAGAACAAGATAAGAAAAGGGAGCCAAAAAAGAAGAAATTGAAAAGTAATGATGGATATCCCCAATTATCACTATAATACAAAGGTAGGGCCCACTCACCGTTTCCACTTCCGTGACTTTAGGTTTAGCTTCTGCTGCCACACATTCCATCTCACCGCCTCTCTCCGATGAAGATCTAACCGGCGGTGGCGCCTGAACCGATTAATAAAAAAATAATAAAAAATTAGGATAATATTTTTTTTAGAAAACGGAATTTTTTTTAACAATTAAAACAAAAAGAAGAACTGAGACTTACCATCAGATCTATCTCAAACTTCTCCTTCTCCGGCGAACTTCTGCATGATTAAAAAATAAAACTCCTCTGAGCACTAATATTAGGGAAAAAATCCAAAATAAATGTATAGATTGTATGCTTACGATTTAGCTCCTAAAATGGCAGCTCCATCACCATCGGATCTAAATCCTGAAGAAGATTCCAGTTTCGGCAATTTCGTCTCCTCTTTCGACAGATTATTTTCTCTTTTCTCAGCTGATCTCGAATCCAACGACGCGTTGCTTTCTCTAGGCTGTAGATTGGTAGATTCCAAAACTGAGCTGTTTTCTTCGGCGGATCCTGATCTGATTAGCTGATCGACAAACGGAACTTGACTTTTCGATGGAGCTTCGGCTTCGGATTTGATGCTTGACGGAATTGTAGTGACGCGTGATGGCAAACTGGAGCTGTTCTCGTCATCGTATTTAACATGCCTCGGCTTCTTTCTTTTAGGAGCTGAAACCAGAGGAAAAAAAGTGAGCATACAAAGAAAATGGAACAAATCAAAACAGATCGTTGTGGATGGAGAGGACTTACCGATGGCAGAAACATTAGACGAGCTCGAATTCGCAGCTAGTGTGATGGAAGACTGATGAACTGTTTGGGAATTGGAGATCGGCGAAGATACTCTGGATTTGATTTCCACCGTTGATTTTCCACCTGCCTCCCCCAAATCGTTACCGGCGGATTCTTGTTTCGACGTCGCTAAAGGCATCCTCATCATTCCGTACAACACCTCTGCAATCTCGATCTCGATCTCGTCTTGAACGGCCACCGGAGATGATAACTTGGACGATGATGACTTCGGTGGGAGCGGCTTCTGTTTTGACCCGGACGGCTTCAAAACAGAAGAAAATTTTAATTTAGTCCCAAAAAAAAAAAAAATAGAGAAGATGGAGAATGGAGATTTGAGTGAATTCTGAGAAACTGACCATTTTTTTCCTGGCGGAAACGCTTGATGAAGATGGAGATGTAGGAGCTGGAGGAGACGGAGACGCTAGAATGGAAGCCGGACTAACTCTAGCTGGGGACGTTGACACTTGCCGGTGGATTTGATCTCCGGAAGCAAAAACGCCACCGCCGGTAGTACTAGACGCCCATGATTCATGCGGTCTCTTCGTACAAGCTGTATCAAGAGAAAATGGAATTTAGAAGAAATGAAAAGAGATTTGACCAGCGAGAGATATGTTTAATATTGTAATTTCCACCTCTCTACCTGACCGAGCTTTTCTAGGAACCGATACGCCGATCATCTCGTCTGCGGCCTTCCAAGACGAGACGAGAGGTGATACCGGCGCCGGAGATGGAGGCGATCTGAAAACTTTTGATGTTGGCGGAAAGTTCTTCCTCTGGTGGTGGTTATGGTGGTGGTGGTGGAGATTACTGCTGCCGTTGTGATGATTTGACAGAGACGATGAAAACGAAGCGCTCGCCGGAGGAAGCATCTTCAACGAGGACGGTGGTCCTACGCCTCCGTCGTCATATTCTTCATCGTCGTTGACACTCTCTTCCGAGCTGTCGTCGCCACCGTCGTCTAAATTACCGTGAACCATCATTAACCGTTCTCCTCTTCTCCTTTTGCTCCGGCTATTTAACCGATCTCTCTCCCTATTATCCCTTTCTCTTTCCCTCTCCCTGTCTCTATCACGCTCCCGATCTCGATCCTTCTTCGTACTCCCACCTCGATCTCTCAGCCTCGCCGACTCCGGTAACTCCACCGGACCGTCGTCCTCTGAAAAAAAACCCAGAAAGAACAAAACCATCAGAATCAAAGGGGTTCTCCCAGATCTGAAAAAAATGAATAAATCAAGAAATAAAAACCTGGAGAATCTCTGAAACTTCCGGCTCTATGCCTTCGCCGTGACAAGCCATTTCCGGCAGCCGCCATAGGTACTCTTCTAGCTTCTCTATTTCTATCCATCTTCTCTATTGCTTCCGCTTCCTTCTCTTTTTCCCCCTAATCGCACCTCTCTCTCTCCTTCTATCTCTCTCTTTCTCTTTCTATCTCTCTACTTGCTTCCCATTATCTCCTTTATTTGTGCTCCTCATAAAAGCAGTAGCGAATAAATCCACGGCTCATATCTCCTGCCGTAAAACCTTTTCCTAATCTTCACCGTCGGTGTGTATGCATCCAACGGTCACGATACGCTATATACCAGCGTGACAAAATCTTGGCCCTCCATTATAGAGATCTCACAACAATAACCGATATTTCCACTTTTATTGTTTTTTTACCACCGAAAACTTTCTTTTAGTATTTTAGAGTATTTTTTAATACTATTAGCAAAAACGTATTCTTTTATTATTTAAATAGTCAGCATCCTATGTGGGACCCACGCAAAAATATACTAGTAGTATATTTTTATTTTGTTTGTTTAACATTTAGTTTCGATTTTAATAATACGATTTCCGAGTCGGATTCATGTGAAAAATTATTTGGACTGTTACAGGTTATTAAACATTAAGCTGCCACGTGTCAAGAGTTTGACATCACACGCTTCCGTGCATTTTATCGGTACCAATATTTTATTGACTTTGTTGTGTCGAAAAATTAAAAAATAAAAATAAATCATATATATATTGAAAGTCTCAAACACAAGATAATAATAATAAATTAAAATAATTGATAATATACCATAGTGCAATATAATTTGTTAAAGGGCTCCTGGGGTAGTGTACTGTTGTCCACTAATCGCGATGACTCGTGTGAAAAAGAAAACAAAATACTGACATATACACGCACAAAGATGATAATATTTTAGTTATTATTTTAATTCAATTGTGTCCTGAGAAGATGTATCACCGGCTAATACCGGTAAACAAAGACCTTGGTAAAGGCAATCTGACGATCAGAATGGAATCTTTGTGACCACCAACACACACCGATCCAACCGGTAAAATTAGTCATATCAGGTTCCACTTCTCACCCTCTCGTCGTCGCCCATTTATATTTTCTTTGTTCCCCTTTAACTAAATCAAATTAGCTAATAGGTTTATTTGCCGGTAGTTATTTTTTGGATTAGGGATTTGATTTTATTTTCATAGAATTAACGTTGGTTTTAGATGATTTTTTCGTACTTATTTACTGTTTATGTACTGTTTACTTATTTTTACATTTACCAAGTTTAATTTAAATTAACTTCCATGAAATATGCCAAAAAGGGGTTTAATAAAGTTTTGATTTTGACAAACAAAAAAATCTGTAGAACTTTAAAATATTTAGAATCTGACTACAAAAGGAAAAAAATCAAAAAAAATGATTAGATATATCCAAATCTAGTTGAGAAACATATAAATCATATACAATTCCTAGGTTAGATGGAAAAAATGGTCAAATTGACATAACTGTAAATTTCTATAAATAATTAAATACATGGTCATACATGGATATTTCTAAAATAGAATAAATGATATAATAGCCTTCAGATTTTTTAATTCTTTGTGGGAAGTGGAGCTAAACAATAAAACTTATAAAGTAAGGAAGCGGGGCCTACCTCAATCTAAAATATAACTCAACTCATTAATTACGAATCGACGGCCGAGACCATTTGCTGCCAATAGCGAAATACTCACTCAGCCGTTAGATATTATCTGCATTATTATTTCCTACATTTCGGCCTTTTTTTCCCCCAATAATCTGACTTGGCAGAAAGCGTCATCCCGTAAAAAAAATAAAACTAAAAAAGGTGATGAGTTGGCACCCGACCGGTTGATCTGACCCGTTCATTTTCGAAACACTCAACGGTTCAGATGACAAGAGCTGGAAATGCTTGTGGGACCTTCTTCACTCAAGTCGCGGTCACGGAACTTCCGAGAAGTGTGGGTCCCGCAGTAGCTGCCAATGTGGAATTGCTTCCCTATTTTTTTAACCACTTACTCACAAGTAGTATATTTTTATTTCTGTTTATTATACCGTTCATTTTTCATCCTTTATTTACCCAATTATATAAATCATTTCCACTAAAAAAATCAAAGATTGGCTTCTTTCTCTATTTGTCTTTGGTATTAATGATCAAAAGGTATTTTGTATTGATATTTGTAGATATTATTTTCAGAATTAATATATATTTTTCTTAATTTGTTAGCTTTTAGCTTTTTAAGATTAACTTTTTTTGATTATTTCTTTTATTGATATAGTTTTAAATAAATAAACTATACAGATATAATTTAACTTTTAAAATAATAGTTAGAAATCTTAATTCTGAATTATCTATTTACTTAAGATATTAAAGTATTTAATACATAATTGGTAATTAGTATTAGATACTTTATTTAGTTTTTTTTCAATAGTCTCATCTATAATATATGGTCAACTCTTTGCAATTAAGTGTCACATCAGCACTAAAAAAATGACATCTATTATTTTAATTTTTATAATTAATGAATTATTATTGTGATATAATTAAAGTAATACTAATTAATTTTTTACTTTTTAATTGTGTGCTAATTAAAAATATATTTGTTTTGATTTTTATATATTTGATAAATGTATATTTCAATTTATTGTTAATGTAATAAAACTTTCCAAAAATAATTAGAATAAAAATAAAATAAATTGTGATTTGTACAGTGATATGTGAACCAAAAAAGTAGTAACTAGAAATGTTTAATTAATCTATGTCAAAAACAAATGCGACTTGCTAAAAAGAATTTTCTCTACTTATATTGTGTTTTGAAAAGTTTCTCTAATTACTTTTTTGTTATATACTACTTCTCTAATTTACAGTATATATCTGTCTAATTTATTCTATATATACAAGGTATAACATATTTCATATTTCATTATCGATAAACTATTTATCACATATATAGTTAATAACTACATAATATATATATATATACATATTGCATGTTTATTCCAATACACAATATTTTTAAGCAAAATTTTAATACACAATAAAATAAATTATAACTAAAAATTTTAACAAATTATATTATAAAACAAAAATCCGTAAATCGTCTAGGTATTTAGTATTGATTTGGATAGCTAAGTTGGTTTACATAAAATTCTATTAATTTTTATTATAAGATAATATTTTACTTCTTTTTTTGGATTATATACATATTTTATTTTTTCGCCGATGTATTTCAACTATTTCAAATTGCGTATTTTACTATTTGGTGTACAATAATTTAATTTTTCATTATCTTTTTCGATATTCTGACATGGTCCAGAACGTCATCTCGTAAGATATGAGTACAAGAAAATCGTCGTCCGTGGGGATAAAAGGAATTAGGAAACTAAAAATACGTGTAGTATTTCTACTTTTAACTTCATAATCCAATAACGTGATTTTCAAATGTTTAATATATCTTTTTTATTAATAATTAAATTTAGCGTTTATTTCTTATTATTAATTAATGCGATGAATGACAGTGACGTGGCTTAGGGCCCACGAGAAAAAATTAGATTTTGTAATTAAAACACCAACGAGTTTTGGTCAATGGTCAGGATTCATAACTCATAAATTCATAATTAATAACAGCAGAGTAACTAAATTTAAACCAGTAGTTTTCACATTTAACAGTACGCGCTACGATGCGCGTGACTACAGTTAAATCCTTAAGATATCCACGTGGTTTCAGAGTGATGCCACGTGGTTGATTATACACATGACACGTGGAGAATCGTCCTCTCTTATTCGTCGCCCTGGATCTTGTTTTTGACGAAGCTACGCTTTCTCGTAAATATCTCTGTAGATACAAAAAAATACATTCATGGGCGGAGTTATAAGAGAAAATGCTAATCTCACTTGCCAGTTACCGATGTTAAACGTTACAGCCGTGGAAACTGTATACGTGGCAGGTTGAGAGTGGTTGGATTACGTTATCGCGTGGATGAAACGGTCACCTAAATGCCTTTACGATTTAAAATAATAAAATATATATAAAGCACTGAAAATGCCACGTCGGAGTATGTAGTCCCGCCAAATGAATTTGTCGGGTTTCTTAACTTTCTTTCGATTTCTTTTTCTCTTCATTGAAGTTTTTTAAAAAATTACTCGTCGATGACAAGACAAAAAAAAGGTTATCAGATAAAAAATATATTGTTAAGTTAGGTGACACGTGGTGACTTTTGGATTTATTGAGTTTTGCCAACGTGGCAAGTTTTGATCGTTCGCTTAACCCTAGCCGTCAGAGGAAAAAATTTCCATCAGCAAATTAAACATTTACATATTGCTTGCTTAAAAATTCGGATGGTTTTATAAAAATAAAAAATATATCGGTATATAATTGACAGAAAAAAATATATCGTTATATAAAATATAATTTTTTTATATTTAATTCTTTGTCGTATGCAAAGGTACTAAGGTATCTGTAAAAAAATCCCTTCACTAACGCACTAAAACATATCGAAAACTGCGAGCAGTTTTTAAGTATTTTATAATTAGGACCATATAATAATCCTTTCACAAAAACCATATAATATTGGTAATTGAATCGTATCATAGAGGCATTTAAAATAAAATAATATACAGCGAACATGGCACCATGACTCTTTCTTCTTTATTATAATCATATCATTCAAATCTAGAAAATGCAGGAAAGTACACAATGCCCCCAAATAATAATATTTTACACTATGACACACTAGATTAATCGTTGAAGTTTAAAACATTAATTTATATTGGAAACAGTTGATAGATAGAGAGGCTATGCAACTGATTAGGACGTACTGTATTTGTTATTTATTTAAACATATACATATATCATTCGGTATATAAAGAAAAGTCAAAATATTCAAAATATTTTATACCATTTAGTGTTAGATATAAAATTAATATTTGTGTTTTAATAATTGATGAGGGAAGGTGTTATGTGGAAGCCCTTTGCTTTTGATATACATTTTTTTGCTGATATAAAAAAATCAGCGGAAAAGAAAAGATAAATTAAGGTTTTTGGTAATTGCGATTGCAATTATCTTGGACCTAAACTCACCATTAATAGATTGAAAAGAATGGCCATGGTAGATATACCCTTTTTTAATGGAACGCAACTATATGTAATTAATTAGGTGGCATAAGAGAGAGTCTCTGTTACGATGGAAAGAAAGTGGTTAAGTACGCATAATCACCCAAAAATATAATAATGTTTGATTAAAAAATGTCTCTATATATACAATTGACTGTTTTCTTTCTTGTTATTATAATGTTTTCTTATTATATACTGTTTTTAGCTTTACATTTGAAAGGTTTGGGGCCCGGAAAGAAAAAATTAAAGACCCATGCCCTAAATAAAGGATCCACTGGGTTCTCTCTTTAATATTTTTCATGTGTAAAGAGAGAAAAAGAAAACATGCAGCAGCAATTTAAATGTCCTCATTTTCTCGATAATATTCCTTTGTATTGAAAGTCAAAATCTTATGGCGAGTCTTTGAAAATAGCGGAAACTAAAAAGCCCAAAAGCCCATAAAAAGAAGAAAAAAAGAACCGAACGTGTACGTATTGCCTTTCGAGGAAAAACAGAATAATATTCGTAACAACTAACAAATGCCAAATATAACATTCAAGGAAAGCCGATTCCAAAGTATGGCTCTATATACAAGTGACAAAAGAAGAGATCATAAGACTTCTCAAATTTTTTTAAGAACAAAGTTTAAAACTTCAGCAAACAAAGCTAATTCTTATTCAACGAGATATAATAATAATCAATGGTATCCAATTGGAGCTGGAGCTTCCTTTAGTTCACGACCTTGGTAATGAATATCCTGCAGATGATACAAAACAATGTTCATCAGTCAAAGACGAATTAGGGTTTTAGAGTTTTGTCTCCTTGCAAGATAAAACAACAGAAAAAAAAAACACTTACGGATGCAAAATGGTTAACGTCACGGTGGTGAGCCTCGTCGGCACGAACAACCATAACGACATCACGGAGGGTTGCATTAGCAGGGAGCCTCCAGTAATCAATAGCAATAGCTGGAGCAGGACCGTTCTCGATGTTACCATTGTCGAGCTCCTTGAGGAACTCCGTGTACGAGTGGATAGCTTCTTCCTCAAGGTACCCAACCATACGGTGAGCGAATTTCGGGGAGACGATGTAACCGAGGAAGTAGGCGTTGAAGAAAACTCCCTGCACAGTGATCACGAGAGCTCTCTCGTACCATTTGGGTTTCGCGACTTCCATGAATGTCATGAGATGCATCCTCTCGTTCTCTGCTTCCTCGAGCAGAGCTTTGATCCAACCACCGCTCTGCTCAAACCTCCGCAGCGATTTGCAGTGGAGTAACATTCCTCCGACCATTCCGGGCACTGCTGCTACAGTTTCCAGCATCATAGCTCGGCATCCGTATCTCCTCTGCGTTTATAACAATGGCAAAATCAGAACAGAGCATTTTCCTAAATTGATGATGATAATAACTGTTTGATTATTTGTTCTTAATCCGTAAGATTCGCAAATTTCGAGCAAGTGGACATAACAAATAGCAATAATTATGAGCACTAACAGAGTGAAGAATATAATATATAAAAAAGAATTCCCAAAATTAAGAAATAAAATATATGATGTTATACGCAATCAATGACGACAACCAGATTTGGGAAAATGGATATGAAATCTAGTGAAAATGGAAAGAATGAAAGATGTGTGATCGGGGAAGAAGAAGAAGAAGAAGCTGTACCTGGAAGAAGAGATCGGTAGGCAATCGGAGAGATTTGACAGTCCAATAAGCTAATCTGTCAAGAAACGTCGTTGGTACATGATGCTTCGACAGATCTATCGTCAAATCAGCTTTATACGTCTCCCACGGCTGCGAAAATCCGGAAAAATTCAACTTAAATCAACGAAAACACCTATAAATCGATGAAGACGATGATGAAGTGTAACAATATAACAATAAACATACCCTGAAACAATTCCACTTCCATTCAGTGCCGTCTTCTTTAGTGATCTTATTCGGTTCAACACCCCAATAGCTAGCGATTCCTTTCTCTCCCTTGTTACCTCCGGCGTCACCACCGATTGATTCGTTCTCCGTCTTTTTCGGAACCGCCTCTGTCGTCTCCTCCTCCGTCGGAGTTTTCTCACCCAAAGTAACCGTGCTCTTGAATCTCACGCCTCCAATCGCCGGAGCTCTAGTCCAGATCCAACCGCTCATGCTAGAGGCCGGAGCTAAATCCGCCGCCGCAGGCTTGATTAGGTGGCTTGCCTCGTGAGGCAGCGAACGGATCGTCGTCGTTGAGAACAACCGTGGTCCAGCAGCCTTCATCAGCGACGAGGCCACCTTGGCTCCACCGCGAGTCATCATCATTATGCAAATCAGAAACAGAAATTTGAAAGAAATCAAATCAAATCCAAGAATATAGGAAGATTGTAGGAGAAAGCTTTTTTTTTACTTTGTCGTCTTATGCGCTTCACACGCTGTTGTTATAAATGGTCTCGAGCAAGGGTTATATAGCAAGGAAACGAACGGTTTACGATCGAATTATCAATGACGTGTGTGTAAGAAGATCACGCCACGTGTTTATCAGGTGTAACAGTTTCTGGTGTAGGGTATTCTAGAATGACGGTATCACCCTCGAAGACATTAGAGAGACTTCGTGTGCTACTTTGCTTTGACTGAGGGTATATATGTAAATTTACAACGGCGGTGTAGATTTTTCGTGGAGACCAAGAAGTCGTTTTTGGGAGAAAAGCTGGATGGAAGATACTTGCGTGGTGGCCAAGAGGTAGAATCTCATTGGTCGAATTTAATGTTATCGTGTGGGTATTATTAGACGTTTTTTTGTTATCACTTTCTCCGCCAAATAAAATGGAAAAGAAAATTAGCATTTTTTATTTATTCATAATTTGGACATATTAGAAAACAAAAAATAGGAGATGAGCTAGTTTCTGTTTCAACTTCCTAGTCAAAATTAGACGCGATTTATTACTTTTTCATCACTTTTTATTCAATTTTCTTGTAAATTCATGTTTGATTATTTCAAACAAATTTAGTCGAATTTAGATTACGAAAGAAACAAAATAATCTTCCCATCCCAGTATGAGATAATGTAAATGAAATTTTGTGGAGTAAAATATTGATCACATCCTTTTTTTTTTTTTTGGTAAAATCAATATACAATTTATTTCGACTCTTTTTTTTTGTTTGTAAAGTTTGACCACCTGGAAAACTCAATGTACAAAGTACATACATCATGTAAACATTGGTTTATTAATATAGATAGAAATCAAAAACATCTACTTACGATTAAAAAATTCTGGTTTATTACATTCAGCCCACTAAATGTAAAACTAAAGTCATTGATGAAGCCCATTTAGGAACCAAGAAAACAAAACTGGACCGTATGGATCAGTTCGACAAAATGAGAGTGAACCACATCAATGATATCCGATGGGAGCTGGAGCTTCTTTCAGCTCACGACCTTGATAGTGAATATCCTGTTTCAATCATCATCCATTAGGGTTTAAATTCATCTTTATACATAGATGACGAAATGAAAATATAACGAAACACTTACGGATGCATAATGGTTAACATCACGGTGATGAGCTTCATCAGCACGAACCACCATGACAACATCACGAAGCGTCGCGTCTGCTTCGAGCCTCCAGTAATCGATAGCTATGGCCGGCGCAGGAACGTTTTCGATGTTACCGTTATCGAGTTCCTTGAGGAATTCAGTGTAAGAGTGGATTGCTTCTTCCTCAAGGTACCCAACCATACGGTGAGCGAATTTTGGTGAGATTAGGTATCCGAGGAAATAAGCGTTGAAGAAAACGCCTTGAACGGCGATCACGAGGGCTCGTTCGTACCAATTGGGTTTAGCAACTTCCATGAACGTCATCAAGTGCATCCTCTCGTTCTCTGCTTCTTCAAGAAGGGCTTTGATCCAACCGCCGCTTTGTTCAAACCGCCGGAGCGATTTGCAGTGTACCAACATACCGCCGACCATTCCTGGAACCGCTGCTACCGTTTCTAGCATCATCGCTCGGCATCCGTACCGCCTCTATGTTAAATCGTTGGAAAAATTAATCTAAGACCCAAAATTATTAATTTTCACAATTCTTATGTGGTGAAAATGAAAAATTAGACAGAGAAGCAGCGACAAAGATTATTGTGTTTAAATGTTACTTATAACAATAACATAAAAAAAAAAAAAATCGAATGAAACATTAGAAGTAAAAATCTGTTCACGTGAACACAAAATCGTTAGCATTTGACGTTTACGCATTATACTGATCAAGAATATTATTTGAAACTTGCATGTAAGAAGAAAACCAAACGCAAAAACAGCGTTTGAAACATTTGTATAATACCTTGAAGAACAAATCGGTAGGCCAACGAAGAGATTTAACCGTCCAATAAGCTAATTTGTCAGGTAAAGTCGATGGAACATGATGCTTCTTCAAATCTATAGTCAGATCTGCTTTATACGTCTCCCATGGCTAACCATTATTCCACAAACAAATAATCAAATCCCACACACAATTATACATATAATATCAACCAAGAGATAACAATACAAAACATATATAAATTGTAATGTATATACCCGAAAGCAACTCCATTTCCATTCAGTTCCATCTTCTTTGGTGATCTTCATAGGCTTCACGCCCCAATAACTAACGATTAGTTGCTCTCCTTTGTTACCTTGACCAGCCTCACCACCGCTGGATCCTTTTTCCGATTGACTCTCCGACGTTTTCTTCTTCTTCTCAAATGTCATCTTGCTGAAATCTCTCACGCCTACAGTTGCCGCCGCGAGAGCAATGTTAGGCTGAAGGATATGTCTGTGAGACACGGCACCACGACGGACTATGGCGTTGATAGAGAAGAGCCTTGGTCCAGCCAGTGCCATTACCTTGGCTCCATAGCAACTCATCATCGTATTGTTGATTCAAGTTGAAACAATGTATATTGATAAATCTAAAGCGTTTTATAACTTCTCAACTACTATCTATTTATAGCAATTACGGAAGTGTAGCATCATTTTAATACAAAACGAAAGAATCTGTTTAGTATTTGACTAAAAGACTTGTAGCACACGAAATGATGACATTTTACAAACCAATCCGCAACAACCGTTATTTTTGCTTGTTTTACTACTTCTTGATTTATATGCAAAAACACAAAAAGCATGCGACGTGTCTCAGATTCTCTCTGATCTCGTATGGAACAATGATGACATAAGACATAGTTTAATAAAAAGAAGTATGTTCCCATTACATAACTACAGATTTTATATATAAGTTCGACTTCTTGTATTAACTAATCTACTTGAGTCACCGAATCCTCCTCCTCCTACTCAACCAATTATTGCCGGACCGGGTCAAAAACAAACCCAACAACTTCGTTTCAGTAAGACCTTTTACCATCGTTTGAGCCAAAGCCACCAAAGCTGCTCCTTCCTCCTGACTGAGATGAACGATCCGAACCAAAGCCCCCGAAACCAGAAGAAGAACGGTCTGAACCGCCTGAACGGCCACCGCTGCTTCCATAATCATCTGAGCGACCACCAAAGCTGCTTCTTCCGCCTGACTGAGAAGAACGATCCGAGCCAAAGCCACCGAAACCAGAAGAACGGTCTGAACCGAAACCACCAGAATAACGGTTGCTTGAACCACCTGAACGCCCACCACCACCACCGTAACTTCCACCACCGCCATAACCTCCACCACCTGAACGACCACCAAAGCTCGAACCGCGATCTCTCATGCCTCCTCCAAAGGAATCACCAGATCGACCACTGATTCCTTCAAACATGCTTCCACTTTCACGTTCCACAGCAATGCTAGGGAGCTGAATTTGAAACCGAATAGAAACGAACAGTTAAACTCTATGCATTCAACAAAGAGAAACAAATAGGTAAGAAGTCAGATTGTATTAACCTCAATGAATCTGCTCCCGACTTCTCTCTCGATTATTTTTACAGCCCTGGACTGATCTCGACTGTGGATGAGAATAGCACTTCCTTTTTTCCCCGCACGGCCTGTTCTCCCCGTTCGGTGAACAAACGTCTCTGTGTTATTTGGAAGCTCATAATGAATCACCTATTCACACAATCACAAGACTGGTTTAATAAGATGAGAAACAGAACTCGTTTAGAGAAATAATAGTGTTAGTTTCCGACTCACCAAATCGACATTAGGAACATCAAGTCCACGGGCAGCAACATCAGTCGCAACAAGAACATTGATTCGCCCACACCTGAAATCATCAAGTATTCGTTCTCTCTGACTCTGAGATATATCTCCGTGTAAAGCTTCGCATTTGGTGCCTCTCCCAAATCCATATGAAAGTCGATCAGCATCACGTTTTGTTTGGGTGAAAACAATGCATTTCCCTCCTTTAGCATGCTCCTGCAAAAAAGAAACGATATTATAAACTCTTGCCACACACAAGAGTCTATAAACGAATATAATAATATCAATTATCAACTAGTACTACAAGCCAAGTAAAGAAAGCATACCCTTACAAGAGGACCAATAATGGATGCTCTTCCATACAAATCTGCTACGATAGAATACGTCGTGATTCCATCTGCGAGCATCTGATCAGAATCTCCAACCTAAACAACACATCACAGTTAGTCAAAAGATAAGTACACATTTCAAAAACCAAAGAATCAATCTTTAGGTATTATGAGCAATTACAGATATAAAACACAAGCTGGTATGAGAGATTTACTCACGAGATCAATCGTCACAGGATCATTCAGGTACTTTTTGGTGAGTGATCTGATCCAACTCGGCATCGTTGCAGAGAACATCATGCTCTGGCGTTTCTCAGGCAACCTTTCCAATATCACTTCGACATCCTCGGCGAATCCAACTTGAAGCATCTGATCAGCTTCGTCAAGAACCACAAACTGAACCTCGGTCAGATTCAGAGCTCCCCGCTTAATCAGATCGATAATACGACCTGGAGTTCCAACGGCCACATCAACACCATAGTCAAGCTGCCTCATTTGCTGCCCGATCGGTGTACCTCCATAGAGACAAATACTATCCAAGCTTGGAGCAGATTCCCTAAACTCCTTCTCAACCTGACGAGCAAGCTCTCTTGTTGGAGCCAAAACCAAACAAAGAGGATTCCTCCCACGTCTGTCACATCAAAAGGCAACATACATGTAAACCTCTAAACCACAGATGATCTCAATAGAGACTGTAAACACAAAGAGTCAAAATCCAGGAAATTTAACAAACCCATGTTTAGCGTTGAATTTGATAATTTTGTCAATGATGGGGATCCCAAAAGCAAGCGTCTTTCCTGTTCCTGTTCTAGCACGGCCGATCATGTCTCGACCTTGCATCGCCGGCTCAAGCACATCTTTCTATTTCAACCACAAACATAAACCATCTTTAACATTTACCCAGAATTCAAGAACATGAACACGAAAGCTGTGTAATTCAATTTTGATCTCACAACATACCTGAATCGGAAAGAGTTTTTCGATACCCTTACTCTTCAAAGCTTTGACAATCTCCGGAGATATCCCAAGCTCAGATATCGCTAACCCGTCACCGCCGCTGCTGCTACCAACACTCTCTGAATCTCCAATCCCTCTATCGGTACTCTCAGGTATCGCAAACCCGGCAGGAGAAACCATCGACGATCTGAACTCCGACGGCCCAGATTGAAAGTGAAATTCCCTCGCTTTAACACCAAACGGAATCGGTGACGGGGGTGGGAGGGAGAAGCCAGGCTTGACATCGGAGGAGCTAATCGAGGACAGATCGGAGACTCTGGCGGCGGCTGGGGTAAGATGGTGAAACAGAGCCGCGTTAACGGAGGTCAGAGAGGCGGAGAGAGTCCGCCTTGACGCATCGAGGCAAGATCGGCGAAGAACAGTAGTGATCATATCGGATTCAGAGAGAGTGTGACTTTTTTTCAGATAAGGAAATGTAAAACCCCAACAATTGAGTGAGAGAAATAGGGATTTGGAGAGAAGGCAAAGGGTTTAGATCTTTTCACAAGAACAGTTCGTTTTCAAGGGTTTAAGTTGGTATAGTGGGTCGGGTCGGGTACAGGCCCATATGTGTAGTAAAACTCAATAATAAAGTTTAGGGATGAAAGCAGAAACTCGGTAAAGATTGGGGGCTTCATATGTTATAAACCTTTGTTTAATAGAATTGAGAGAAGCAGGGTTTAGATTTTCGGAGCTTGAAAGGAAAAGCTTGAACGCCGCTTCTTCTTCTTCCTCTCTCCCTCTCTGTAAATTTCTCCTCCAGCGTTTTTGTCTCTAAACGTAAGTTTTATTTATTTATTTTTGAATAAGTTTTTCTCTTTTCAGTGACCTAGCTAGGTATCGATCTCAAAGTAAATAGATTGATAAAAAAACCTAGATTGTTCCCGTCAATTTTGACCTAGATTTTGTTACGGAATCGTTGATTCGAACTGATTCCGATTACGTGGGAACACACTGGTTTCGGGAGCCCTAATCAGTGAGATGTGTGTTGGTGGTATTACTATATCTGCAGGTTTATCGGTGAGAAAGATGCTGACGGAAGAAGAAATCAAAAGGCTCTACAGAATCCACAAGACGTTGATGCAGATGCTCAAGGATCGTGGATACTTTATAGCGGATTCGGAAATCACGATGAGTTTAGGTCAGTTTGTGAGGAAACATGGCGACAACATGAAAAGGGAGGATCTTGTTACCCTCAAGGCCAAGAGAAATGATAACAATGATCAGGTATGTCTTTCCTTTACTTCACTGTAAGCTCTTCATTAGTGGTCTTTTGCAGAACCGTTGTTTAAACGAAAGCTTAGTAGAGAAACTTTCATTTGGTAAGTAGACAATGAGATATTAGAAGAGAAAACTATATTTTGAGAAACTTATTCGTCTCTAAGAAGCTTTGGAAATGATATATTTACATAGTTTTTCTCTGTTTCCATGCCAATTGAATAGATACCCAAAGCATAAGATTGTTTCTTGTGTTTGAATATTTCGTCTTAAAGAGTTCTGATTCATGTTTTTTGTTATAGCTTTATATTTTCTTCCCCGATGAGGCGAAAGTTGGAGTTAAGACGATGAAGATGTACACGAACCGGATGAAATCAGAGAATGTTTACAGAGCAATCTTGGTGGTGCAACAGAACTTGACTCCTTTTGCTCGAACTTGCATAAGTGAGATCTCCTCAAAGTTTCATTTGGAAGTCTTCCAGGTAAAAAAAAAAAAGTCGTCTTTGATTTTTGTTCTCTTGATGATAAATCCTCCACAATCACAATCCTAAACCATGTTGTGGCTGTTGCAGGAGGCGGAAATGCTTGTGAACATTAAAGAACACGTTCTTGTTCCGGAACATCAAGTTCTTACCACCGAAGAGAAGAAGACTTTACTTGAGAGATACACAGTGAAGGAGACACAGGTTAGTATTTTTTTAGATCTTAGAATCATTGTCCATGGTGATGACTATGAGCTTGTGTAATTGAAGTATGAAACTTGTCTGTGTGTGTAGCTTCCAAGAATTCAAGTTACTGATCCAATCGCAAGATACTTTGGGCTAAAACGTGGACAAGTCGTGAAGATCATTCGTCCGAGTGAAACAGCTGGTCGTTATGTCACCTATCGTTATGTTGTATAAGCAATTTGTGGATTGTGCGAATGTTAACTCTCTTGAGTTGTGAGACATAAAGAGGAATGCTTTTGTATCAAACTGTTGACAATGTTTTGTTCATGTATTAGAGATATCACAATTCATTAGTACGACAAACCTTTCATTCTAAGAACTTACTGTATATATAGTGTAAGGTTATTTCAAGTTATAGATCCTTAAGAGTATGGTGAAGTATCATTGTTACAAATACGTAATCTAACCATTCAGACAACATGTAAAAACCAAATTGAATCTAGTATTGCTTTTGATCATAAGTATCTTTTTCTCTGAATCGGCCAACACTGAACAAGAATAGTTTATAGAAGTGGCAAATTCAAAAAATGAAAATAACAATCTCTTCTACCGATGTAGAAGATGAAATATAAATTAGAGGATATGACATAACATCAAAAAAAAATATATGTTTGTTTTACGAGGCAAGAAGACGAAGCTACAGATTCATATATAGCTCGACTCCTTGTATCTAACTCTACTCGAGTCACCAAAGTCCTCCTAAGGCAACTCCATTATTGCCGGGTCGGGTCAAAACCCACCCAACACTTCTTCTCAGTAAGATTTGTTGGGATCTTTTAATCCAAACCCACCAAAACTGCTCCTTCCACTTGACTGTGAAGAACGGTCTGAACCAAATCCTCCAAAACCTGAAGAAGAACGGTCTGAACCGCCTGAACCAAAGCCCCCGTAACCAGAAGAAGAACGGTCTGAACCGCCAGAATAACGGTTGCTTGATCCGCCTGAACGACCACCGCTGCCACCATAACCTCCACCACCTCCTCCATAACCTCCACCACCACCACCATAACCTCCACCACCACCGCCTGAACGACCACCAAAGCTTGAACCACGATCCCTCATGCCTCCTCCATAACCACCACCGCCTGAGCGACCACCTATTCCTTCAAACATGCCTGCGCTGCCGCGTTCCACAGCAATGCTAGGAAGCTGCATTAACCCCAATACAAAGTTCAGTCCATGTATTCAAAGCAAAAGAAACAAAGATGTTAAGAGATTCACAGGTTTATAACCTCAGTGAATTTGCTTCCGACTTCTCTCTCAATCATTTTTACAGCCCTGGACTGCTCTGGACCGTGGATGAGAATAGCATTTCCTTTCTTTCCAGCACGACCTGTTCTCCCCGTTCGGTGAACAAACGTCTCGGTGTTGTTAGGAAGCTCATAATGAATCACCTGTTCACACAATCACAAAGATTGGTTTAATAAAGATGAGAAACAGAACTCGCTTTAAGAGAAAGAAAAAAAAAAGAGTGTAGTTTTCGACTCACCAAATCAACATTAGGTACATCGAGTCCACGTGCAGCAACATCAGTTGCAACAAGGATATTGAAATTTCCATCCCTGAAACCAGCAAGTGTTCTCTCTCTCTGACTCTGAGATATGTCACCGTGTAAAGCTTCGCATTTGAAGCTTTTCGCCAACCCGTACGCAAGGCGATCAGCATCACGTTTTGTTTGTGTAAAAACGATGCATTTTCCTCCTTTACCGTGCTCCTGCAAACGACAAGGTAATATAATTATAAACTCTTGCCATACAACGACAGAAACTAAAAGAAGAGTCACTACAAGATTAAAGAAAGTATACCTGTACAAGGGGACCAATAATGGATGCTTTTCCATAAGAATCTGCTGAGATGGAGAACATCGTGATTCCATCTGCAAGTTTCTGATCAGAATCTCCAACCTAAACAAACAACACATCACAGTTAGTCAAAATGTCAACTCATTAACAACTCTGCTAAAGCTAAAAAGATCAATACTTTAAGCAATTTTCAGAAACAAAAACACAACCAGGAATGAAATTACTCACAAGATCAATCGTCAAAGGATTGTTCAGGTGCTTTTTGGTGAGTGATCTGATCCAACTCGGCATCGTTGCAGAGAACATCATGCTCTGACGCTTCTCAGGCAACTTTTCCAATATCACTTCGACATCCTCCGCGAACCCAACCTGAAGCATCTGATCAGCTTCATCAAGAACCACAAACTGAACCTCCGATAGATTCAAAGCTCCTCTTTTCATCAGATCAATGATACGACCTGGAGTGCCAACAGCTACATCAACACCATAGTTAAGCTCCCTCATTTGCTGACCGATCGGTGTACCTCCATAGAGACAAATAGAATCCAAGCTTGGAGCAGATTCCCTAAACTCCTTCTCAACCTGACGAGCAAGCTCTCTTGTTGGAGCCAGAACCAAACAGAGAGGATTCTTCCCACGCCTGACACATCAAAAGGCAACATAAGAAACAGAGGAAATGTAAATCTCTGTAAACACACAAACTCAAATCTTGAGAATTTAACAAACCCATGTTTAGCGTTGAATTTGATGATCTTGTCGATGATTGGAATCCCAAAAGCAAGCGTCTTTCCTGTTCCTGTTCTAGCACGACCGATCATGTCTCGACCTTGCATCGCTGGCTCAAGAACAGCTTTCTATTTCAACCAATAAACATCAACACTCAGTAAAAAAGCAACGAAATTTAAAATGATCTCTATAAACAAAAATGGAGCAGAGGAGCATACATACCTGAATAGGAAAGAGTTTATCGATTCCTCTACCACTCAAAGCTTTGACAATCTCCGGAGATATCCCAAGCTCAGATATCGCTAACCCATCGCCGCCACTGTTGCTGCCAACACTCTCCGAATCTCCCCCTTCGTTACTCTCATACGAAGCGGCGTAATCATGAGCGGCGAATCCGGCAGGAGAAACCATCGATGCTCTGAACTCGGACGGTCCAGATTGAAAATGAAAGTCCCTCGCTTTAACACCAAAAGGATTTGAAGTCTGAGGGAGGGCGGAGCTAGGCTTAGCATTTTCAGGTCCATTTAATGCTAGATCGGAGACTGTGGCGGCGGCTGGAGTAAGATGGTGAAATAGAGCGGCATTAATGGAGGTCAGAGAGGCGGAGATAGTCTGAGTCCGCCTCGCCGCACCAAGGAAAGATCGGCGGAGTACTGTGCTGATCATTTTCAGATCCAGAGGGGAGTGAGGGAATTTTTGGTGTGAAGGAAATTGTTAAGAGAAAAACCCAAATGTGAGAATTAGGGTTTTAAAGAAGACGGCAAGGGTTTAGTGAGCTTTAAAGAAGAAGGCGGTTTGAAACATGAAAGAATCTACTAAAGGGTATAAAAGTATTTTTATTTTAATCACCTGTGGGTGAGTGTATGGTATGCTCCTGCACGTACGAGAACGTTTTTTTTTTATGGAAAGAGAGTTATCTTTGTTTCGCTTGAGCCCAAAGGTGTACTTGGATGTGAAGGAAAGACCGAGTTTAATGAATCTTAATATTTGTCGGATTATTTCTGTAAATCTTCTGTTAAGAAACTGTGACATCTTCTCCATATCCTTGTAGTTGCTACGATCTAGTTCTGGATTGGTTCAGATGCATCAAATCTATATATCTGTATGATCTCAAACTCACTATCATTAGTGATCGTATAGAATATAACATCTTCGTTTATGATGGAATCCATACAATGAATCAAATGGCCTAATGAACCTGCATAAACTGTAAGCAATTTGCCACTAAAAACTCAATTTGAAAACCATGTCTTTGAAATTCGTCCCCCAAAAGAAAAAAACCATGTTTACTACTAAGCAAGAACAAAAAAGCTACAATGTCTTACTGAGTTTTTGAATCCGTAAGGGGTTCAACATTATTGCATGATCAGGCCACAAAGCTTTCCCGTAACTTCTCAAAACTCTTTTAGCCTGACTCTTCATTGACCAATGGTGGAGGCATTGATGTTGGCTAACACAGGAGTCATGTCCAGACGGGTCTTGCAATGGAACTGGAGTTCGTATTGAGCTCCGAGAATACGGTAACGCTTTAACCAGAAGAGCTTCTTGCTCAGCTCGTGGCTCTGTGCTTTGATGACAAGAAACCGTTTCTTGAACCTCATCTCAAACTGTTCCCTCGACTTCTTGTCGACGTGAGGCGATCGCAGCACGGTGTACAAGACTCTCGTGTCGGGCATTGCAACTTTGCGAGTGTGAGGAGGAAGGCACCAAGCTTGCTTCTCAGGGTTGTCGAAAGACCTAATCGCTATGCAGATCCTGGTTCCTTTGATCTTCGATGTGCTTTCTTCTCCCTCTTTCTATTCAAATCACAACACACACAACAACAGTTTCCCAATGATTTCAATACCGTGAATCTGATGAAGCAACCTTTTACAATTTCGATGAACGAGAACAGAAACATACCTGAAGAGCGATTGTCTTCTTACTCGATGATTTGAGATTCTCTGGAGAAATTCTAATCTTTGAAACACCCTTTGAAACTCCGCTTCCTCCGAAGATACTCTTTCGCTCAGTGGCGTAGCCTTGAACAGCGATCATCGCGGGAGAAATCATCGACGGCTCAGATCTAATGTTCGGAGACGATGCGGGAGCGAATCGAGAGATGTAGTCGCGGGATCCATTTCCAATCAGATTACGCTCTACGGATACTCCGGTGGCGGCTGAGGTGAAATGGTGGGAAAGACCGGAATCAAATGAGGTTAGAGCGGCGGAGAGAGTCTGCCTCGACGGCAACGAAGATCTGCGGAATAATCCGGTGATCATTTCAGATTTCAACGGCGGTGAACCTTTCCGATAAGAGATTTTGGCCAGAGATTGAAGAAGGAAATGTAAAAACTCTTTGTTCCCCAATTAGGGTTTCAGTCAAAGAGTAATCACTTTCAGCAAGAATCGCCTGCGACGAGTGTACGTACTCCGCCTGCAACGTACGACACGTGTTTAATTACGAGAGGCTCTTTTTAAGCTAGAGAGAGTTTCATGTCTTTTCTCAAAAAGGTTTAAACTTAATAAAATTACAATTAACACTACTAGTTAACCAGAGATAATCAGAGTAATACATAAGAGAGTAAACAAAAAAAGACTTGAGGAGATGCAAAACTATAATATGTCCATTGGATTCTTCTACAGTTTCTGAATTTGGATCTTGCAAAATGTATCAATATCCTCGTGTTTCTGTAATCTCTGGAGGGGTTTTCCTCAGAAGGCAGATACAAGTTTTGGACTTGAGAGATTCTTCTTTCCTTCTTTGGTTTCTCATTGTTCTTTTCTCTGTCTCACTTGTGTATGCTTCTGGTACTCGGTTTCTTGGTGAAAGATTCAATCAAGCGGAACATCCAGCGATCTAGCATTCCTGTTTACGACCATGACAAAACTATAACTACGAAAAGTTTTTTTTTAAAAGATGAAATATTGAGATTAGATCGAGATGGAGACGAACCTGTCAGAGCAAAAGTACCACCTAATACAGCGCAAAGCCTAGTGATCAAGTGGAGGAAACTACGGCGTTCTTCTTTGATGGTCACAGTGATAGGTGAGAGATCATATAAGAAGTAGACAGCTGAAAAAATGAAAATGTAGAAGATTGACATCATGAAACAGAAACAGAAGTAATAAGAACCAGGTAGATTACTGGAAATGAAGTTTTGTTTCGACAAACCTGGCCATGTCCGCTCGAATTCGTTCATCGGTGTGTAATATTCCGTAACAGAGTACTGGTTTGTTGACAGTACGTCTTTTGAAAGATATCTATATTCCGTGGGAACAATCTGATCCATACAAGAAACGAAATTAGTGACCTAAACCTACAAATCATGTTCATATCTAACGAGATGGATCATAAAACTATAGCAATACTGGTCAACGTAAATAACAGTGATGAATGCACCTTGATATAGTATTTGAATGTTCCACTGGTGTCATGCAGAAACCGGTTTGTGTCATCAAGTGGGTTGTGAATTCCGGGGTATTTCGGCCCAAAGGATAGATCATGAATCATATGGCTCACATTTACGTTTTTGGAGCCTCCAAATATCTGTTCAGAGGGTAAAGAGGACTAGTTATATACTACATGATGTTGGTAAAGCAATACTAGCATGTAATGACAAATAGTAAGTCAGTGTCAATCGAACGATCACATGGTACTTAATCATACTAAATGAACGAATCTTGAGTTTAAAGTATGTTCTTGGTTAGTCGTTTCAGACGCTTTTTTCACTTAAATTCGGGTAAGAGTATGGTTTATAAAGCGAGTTAATGATACCAACCATCTGGGCAACGTAGATGTTCAACCCATGAACTGAAATATGGAAGTTTCCAGCGACCCGTTGTACATCTAGGACACCATAAACCTGATAAACAGACAAAAAAGATTAGTTTTTGTTTTCTTAAACGCTTATAAGGCAACATTTCGAGTTTGTCTATTGACAAGAGCAGTGAGGTTAATACCCGACATCCTTCTCCATCTGCCAATGCTTGTTTCACCTTTGTAATCATCGTCTCAGCAGCTTTATCAAAGCCAAGCGAATGTAATGCTTCGGTCTCGTTCTTGTGATCGTCTTTGCCATCTTCAGCAAGCGCAAAAGATATCAGATTAGAGTGTGTACATGGTTAAAGTTTCTATTCTTATACCAAAAACAAAAGTTAGATACCATGACAACTATCACTAATAATAAGTCTCATTAATAAATTAATATTCGATCTGGAAGCCCGATCAGTTCTCCAGATACAACTTCGTATTTGAAAAAGGTGTAAATTCAGTTCTCCTACTATTGGGTTTTACATATCCACTATGGTTAATACAAGTTTGACATGGATGTAGAACCAACATGCACATGACTATACGTTCTTCCAAAAGGTTCAAGACAAAGGCATTGATACGATACTTAAGGGAAATGAAGCTCGTCAGAGAAAGTACAAACTCAGAGAAGGCTCATAAATTTTAGAATGTTACCATGCTTGTGAGCTGAGTGATCATGCTCCCTTTCAACAAGATCAGATATATACTCTGTGCCGATGATATGACCATGGCTGTTGAGACGGAGCTGCAGAAATATACTCACAATAAGTGAAAAAAATAACTCGACTCTCAACCAGTAGTAGTACAACTACAGCAAATGCCATAAGAAGTGAGAGATAAAGATGCAAAACGTTATTTGAATCAGCATTTCAATTCATTTTACCTTCCAAATGTTTGTATCGAGATCCACTTCATGCTTCCCCGACATGTCGATAGCATCCACACTCAATACTGCAAAACAAATAAGATCAAATAATTAAGTCTACAACGAGAAGTATTCCAGAAAGGTATGGAGGAAAGAATGTAATGATGACTCGACTACTATGTGATCAATGGATTTCACTTACCATCACAAGGCAAAGATGGAAACGTCATATTTACATGAATTGGAAGAGTTTCTCCGCGCTTTAAGTCTACTGACATCTAGAAAAACATGATACAAAGTCCATTTTGATTAATACATACAAAAATAATAAAACCCCCTACGAGCCAATCACAAGGACAGAGAACGCCTACGGTATCAATGAAGTTGAATCAACACAGAAAGACTTCAAACCCATATTTCCCTAATGATATGGATCACTGCAAAAATTCAACTAGGATGTTCAAATCATTTTGCATTACCTCATACTATTAGTGAAGTTACGTAGAGAAGATCTACATTATTCACGATAATAACAAGGTCAATGAGGCAATGACCGACTCTCGCTTAATCTCGACTACTTAACCAAAGAGTGGCATCAATAAATTTCATATCAGAGCAAAGAATACTAATTCACAGCATTCATATACGGAGTTTCATAAGACACATTAAACAGAAAATCATTCGTAGCAATCTATAGAAATATCCATAGCAGTTTGAAGGCTAGAGTCAGAGCAATAAACAGAAAGACTATATCTCGAACTAAATACGTACCTGATGCACCGTAAGTGTGTTAAGATAGTAACTCAGCTCGTGTAAGAACAAAGTAGCCATTATAAGGAGTCCAACAATAGATACTACAATACCAATAAAATCAAAGATGTCATAATAAGCAAACACATTCAAAAATGTGATGTTCAAATAATCGAAAAGAAGGTAAAAGAAAATCCATTACCGACTGCACCAGATTGTGTCTTCTGCAGCAAGTGATCCTCTGCTCTTGGGAACGCATCGATGCTCCTTAGGGCCTGCTTCACACCCATCCTAGCAGCTTCCCTCGAAGATTAATATACTTTGAAAATCTAAACGAATCGAATTCAAAGGACCTAACAAAATTACAAAACCAATATCAGATATACAAAATATATCCAGTGAAGAACAAAATTGCCCTATAACAAAACAAAACAAAGACAATATTTCCAAATTCATGCAATTCATTCCATAATTTGGCACTAGATAGACCAATTCAACCATCAAATACTCTTCCTGGCAAACCCAATTCGATTGTTTATAATAGATTTCTCGATCTAGACAAGCAGAGAGCTCCAATGGCGGTTTATCTAAAAGAGCTTTAGCTCAAAATCAACACCTAACCAACAAAGCAGATGCAGCGTAAGATTCAAGGGGATTGTTATTTGAAAATTAAGCTCGAACAGCCACAACTACTTCATCGAAATTCAGATTATCAGCATGATCTTCACCGGCCCTAGATGTGAAAAATTCCCCTCTTTTGAAGCGGATGAACAAAAGTTATGCGTATAATGGCATTAGAACCGATGAATCTAAGATATTCGAACGCAAGGTAATTCGAAAACCCAGTTTTTAGAGATCGTACTCGAATCGAGGCTGATGAGGATGAAGCGCGCGCCGAGAGAAAGGATGGGAAGAAGAGAGAGAGAGATCTCCGGGTCCGGAGGAGAGAGAAACAAAAAGGGCTCTTCTCTTCTCGATGTTTTTGAACGGCGTCTCTTTTTCCGTCTCAAATTTTATAAATTGCACCCTGAACTTATCATAAATATTAATTTAGCACTTAAAATCTTCTTATTCACGTGAAGACCCTCATACTCTCAAAAGTTGTGATTTTTTGGTACGTAAAAAATATGTTTCCTATAATTCGTTCGTTTTTTAGAATTTTCGCCTACCAATTCTACAGAGAGATGAAGATTAGCTAAAAGGTTCTGAATAATTTAATTAAAAAAATAATTGATTATTCCATATATAGTCTTAGTTATTTAGTTTAGTTGGTTTAAGTCTAGATTAGTATATGTGCAACTAATGGAAACTGGACCAGCTTCAAACGAACACGTTAAAGCAAGTATGAATATGTTGCTCCTACTAACATTCATCATGAGATTTTTGATGTTTTTGAAAAGAAAAAAAAAAGCTGATAACATAATATGAAAACTTGTTGGGCCGTATCATTATCGCCATTTGATTTGAGCGATAAGGACCCATAAGCCCAAACTCAAACTTCCGGCCAGAAACAAACACCCAAAAGGATGCTTTGTTTATACAAAGCAACTTCACGTTTTACATATGACTTCCAGACAACAAAACAGATAGATCATGTTATACTCAAAAATTAATAAATCGAGCTGAGAGTAAGCATGCTAGTAATATACACAATAAACTCTTGCTAATTATCAATCATGTTCACAAATCACAATCCTCCAGTTACATTTATGGGATAACACTAAGAGAAAATGTTGAAACTATCGTCTCTTAATACATGAATTAGTATTGTGTACTTACTCATAAAGGGACATAACATAATGTCGTGGGCCAAATGGTCAGTGTCGTAAATACTAAAAGTAGACTAAACATCAAAACACTCAGCGACATCTTTTCACTTACATATTTCGATAAAAGTCACATTGATTTCGCATGTGTCCACCACTTCCAAGCTCATAATCACGCCCTTGTCTTTTATCTTTTTTGAATTATTTATTCTTAATTAAGAATTTAAAGAACAATGAGAACACGTGACTTGTGTGAGTGGTGAACAGTTTGCAAAACATGCTTCACGTGCCTTAATTCATCCACTAATGTCAACTTCTCTATACCTACCTTTAACTTTAATCTTGCTTTCTCACTTCAATCTAACTTTGCATTCTGTTATTACACATTTTCGCTTGGTTCTGATTATATTTTTCAAGAGATTATCTTCATTGGAATTTTGCAATAATTTTGTTCATTTTATTCGCCCATATAATCAAAGGAACGCATCACCCTCATTCATTTAGGAATCGACTTTCTAACTATGTCAAGTGTACTGAACCAAACGGCTCCAAACCCCCACATGACACAAACACTACATGTGGCCAAACTTAAAACAACCCTAAAAGTCAAGTTCCTAATTTTTATATTTTTATATAAGTTTGATAAAATATTATTAATTCCAAACGCTTCATTTTAATTTGATAAACACAACACTGGTGTATATGCAGAACTCTGCCGAGATATTTTAATGTTATAAGCAACAAAAAAAAAAAAATTATACGTTCACAAATCTAAAAGATATCATGGTTAGATTAAATCATCACCATCACCAAATCACCATTCAACTTTGAATATGCGGTAATCACTATCAGTATCAGCAATTCATAAATATTTATGCTCTTAGGCTATTTCCAACGGAGTATTTAAACATAAGTATCTCAGAATAAAAAATAATAATGGAAAAGTAAGAGAAAAGTGGAAAGATGTTTCCTAAATAAGAGGTTTTAAAAACTGTATTTAAACAGATAATGGGTTCAATAATTCTACAAATAATTTTAGTTACATAAATTAATTATATTAATAAATATGTATAAGATAGCTCTTTTGAGAAACTCTCTAATAGAGTTGCTCTTATACATGAGAAGATTTTTCATAGTATTTATTTACAAAAGACTTTAGCTTATATAAAGTCTTCGGCTGAGGCTCCGACTCACTGTCACAATAGACTCACTAGCAATATTGGAGATCATACGATTTTCCACCAGCTTAGACATAAGCTCAAATCAAACATAACTCTGACTCAGACTTATTATCAGGAAAATTTGTCCTCATAAACCACAAAATTTTAATATTTGTAAATATATGACTCTATTGTACGCGATGATTTCTTTTTTGTCTGTTAAATAGTATACGACCTTTTGTATGTGTTATATGCATAATATAAAAGAAACAAAAAATGCATATACATTTAAAAAGCCTAACAATCAACAGATAAATTCAAAATATACACACATTTACGTAAGATTCGTTCCAATTAAATTTTACATTCTACAAGAAATTGCATATAATAGGTATAAATTCGGCAAATTATACACACCACAAACAACCAAATTGCAAATTTATTACATTTGCGTTACTCAAGGTACTTCCTCGGAACACTTTGATTGATATATGTATTATTGAAAACATGAAGCACGTGACCTAATTTGCAGATATTTCTTTTTTCCCGCAAGAAAAAAGTATATAGCACGTTCTTATTTATAGTTTATAAGCAAGTATTTCTATCTTGACTTCCATAAACTGACCAAAACAAGAATCTTTACGCAGCGAGAGAGAGAGAGAGGATCATGAAAAATTGCAGCTTAGATCTCTGCCTATCTCCAGTCACCTCTTCGCTTCAATCTTTTCGCCGAGACTCTACGTGAGTTTTCTTACTCAAATCAAAACTCATTAATTTTTAAACCTCTTAACTCGTTTTGAAAAATGGCTATTATAGGATTAATGCATTCTATAATGAGAAACTACGAGAGTATGATCTCGTGGAGATTCAGGTAGAATCTCTATTTGTTTGTATGTATATGTTGTTAAGTTTTTCTTTTCTTTTCTTTTTGCATTAATGACTGATATAGATACAATAATAAATATATACGAAGATAAGGGCAGTAATAGAGATGGCGGCGAGCAAGGAACGTGAAACAACGGCGTTAGAGTTAGCGCCGGTGAGCTTGGGATTGCCGTTTGGGTCGTCGGTGAAGAGATCAGTGAAGAGGTTTTTGGAGAAGAGGAAGAAGAAAAGCAAAACTGTTACACCTCATATCTACACTTATACATCCACCTCCTCCTCTTCTTCCCATAACTTCTAAACCTTTTTTTTTTTTTAGTTTTGTTGGATCGTTTTTCTTCTAATTATCTACCAAAACAAAAAAAAAAAATCTTCGTTTATAATCTTAGGTATCTCTCTCTTGTCATTTTTTCCGTATACTCGACGGTGAATTTCGAGTTTTTTTATAAATCAAGATGTTGGATCGCTTGTATTCGTTTTCTTCCTATGATACATATCTCTCATGTATGAAGTCTCGCATTTCAACTATAATCTAGTATGAGGTTGTTCGTTTATTCGAAGTAAGAGATACTTCAAAATCGATGCCTATGTAACACACTTTGATATAGTTGGTGCATTATTTCTCTTTAGAGTAGTTACAGCTTAAACCAAAGATTAGCTCTAGTGAACAAAGTATATACCACTTGCTTAGTGAAGCCGTAGATTACACGTCGCCCATATCATATGCGCTTAAGTCATTCACCATTTACAAAAATCAATTCTACTTATTATAGTAATTTCAAGATTCTGTCCAATATACCAAACAACCACTAGTCAAACCAAAAGATTCTACAATGAACTATTAAACGAGCTGAATATAATAAACTCTCAACTCCATCACAAAAATAGGAGAACAACACAGAAAATGAAATCTTGAAATAAACCAACGAGAAAAAGGCAGAGCCATAAGAAAGAAAGAGATAGGATCCAAGAGTTTCCAAAAGAGGGTTTTGTGTGTTCCGAATAATAATATTACACGACACCACAGTTTTAAAAGAAATAGAGACATATCATATCAGATAATACCAAACTATTAACTCCCATTTCCCAGCTGCTTCCAGAACCTAAACCTTGTTAATCGAAGAAGAATAGCAACTAATCCTCTGCTCTAAGCTCCAACCTCAAACTATTCTCCGGATAAAGGGTTCATCATCATTCTGTACACAAACACTAAATATCCTCTTCCCAAACTCCTATATTCTCTAACAATGGAGATTTCAATATAAAAGAGCACTAAAAAACATAGCTCCCCTCGGAGAAGACATCACTTCTTCCGATAACCTACTTCCCATGTTTCACATTCTTTCCCATCATCATAAATACACAACCAAGCAGAGTTTGCATTTGTCCATCATAATTATAAGTAAAAGAGTTCAAAGTAAAAAAGGAAAAAAGAAGAAGAAGAAGAAGAAAATGCATATTCTAAAAGCACTTGTCACCTGAAACCCTTCATTCCCCTACACCACCAGGTTACTTACAAGTTACGGCTCCTGAGTCCCCACACACACACCCCCTTAGATTGTTTTTGATCCACGGCTCCTGAGTTTACTTCTCTTCTCTGCCTCTCTCTTTGATTAACCTCTCACAGATTCAGAGTTGATCTGACCACCCCTTGCATGAGACGCCGACTCACTAATAGCCGACGGTTTACGACCAAAGTTTAATAAATAGTTCCTCTGGTCGTCGTTGGTGTGACGGAGGCTCGCACGAAGAAGCTCAGCGGGCATTTCCCTCTTTATCGCCAGCTCCAATACATCCGCTGCACTCCCTTGGTTCTGACCTCGGATGGTCTCATACTTGCTCCTGCAGTATTTGGTAAGAATGTTGAAGAACTCATCAAACGAGGCTCTCCAGAGACCATCATTAGAATTCCCATGGACGACACGAGGAACCGCAACTGCTTCAGCAGCTCTCTCAAGGAGAGAGATCAAGACAACTGAAGCACCGTCCCCAGCGGAACTCCCAATAGGACGCAGAGGTGGCTGCTCTGAAGAACAGACCACAGCTGCAAGGCAAGCACTCAGTGCTCGAAGGTCCATGGCTTGGACGCAGACGGTGACTGCTTTGGCAAGATTAGCAATCGTCTCTGCTGCTAAAGTATCTGAAGGCATGCCGCCGAATAGAAACCTCAAGTGGCGGAATATAGCCATACAGACAACTCGAGCGATCTCAGTACCCGGAACTAGAAGTTGTATATACTTTGTAAGCATCTTCCGACCCTTGGGAAGAGTCGCTATGCGTAAGAAGACAACATCGTCCTTAGCAGTCATCCCGGATTTCTGACCGGTTTTGCTGAACGGATCAGCAAGCTGAAGTGCTGTCGCTAGTCCTTCTAGCAGGATCTGCCGCTTTCTCTTGATCTGAGCACCTCCGTCTTGTGGCCTTGTGGATTGGAGAGTCCTGTCAATGTCAACTATGTCAATAAGAACTCCGAGAGCATCTTCAATCGTAACCCTAGCTGCAACAAGAGGTTCCTGCTCCAAATGCTTTCCCGAGCCCTTATGATCTCCACTCACGTCGTTAAAACCAGGAGAAGAGTCAACCTCGAGCAAGGCACGCGGCCTGCGGATAGAAGGAAGTGTAATCTTTCCAAGGGCGTCTACATGGACTTGTGGATGCTGTTCAGAACTATTACGAGACCGAGGCTGGTGGTCTTTTAACTGAGAAGGATAGAAGTGAGAGACTGCTCTAGATCCGGCAGACTTCTTGGCAAGCTGAGCTTGGTGGTAATAATCATTGACATAAGGATCATTGCTGTGTGAATTAGAATGCTGCATCTTCAGTATACTCTCTATTTCTTCTGAAGTCATGTATTTTGATCTAAACTGCAATCCACTTTCACTTTTCTGACTAGCCGCGTCTGATGCCTGTTGAGAGATGCCTCTGTTCTTCCGACTTCTATGAGACGACTTATGTTTGTGTTCCCTGACTTCACCAACCCCAGGAGGTCCTTTGCGTGACGGCGAAGGATAGGAACTATACATTTGGGACTGTAGCGCCGCGAGTTGAGCATACGATTGTCTCTGCTGGAGGGCGATCATGTGTTGCGACATGAGACCATTTCGAGGAGGCAATTGTTGATGCTGTTGTTGCACCAGACTATGTAACAAACCAGAGTGATCTCCGTGCAGAAGACCAGGATCAGTGACCCAATGAGGCTGCACCATGTTGCCAAGCGTAGGACCGCACGAGGCATATCTAGCCAAATTACCGCCATATTGGGGCCCGTGAGACAGTCCTGAAAGATGGAAACTGGAACTTGACAGCGGGGAAGGTGCATTGAAGGCCAGCTGGGCACCGCCAGGAAGAGAAGGAGCGCGGTGGAGGTTTCCCGGTGAAGCCTGCGGAGATCTGCTGCCAGGCGGGGGAAAGGAGGTAAAAGCTGATTCCGGTACAATTATTGGTTCACTGTTGTAGTGCTGCAGCTGCGGTTGCTGCTGAGGATAGGAGGATGTCCTGTACAAAGGTTTTGAATGAGCAGATGATTGTGGCTGTGAGGACCATCTATTAGCTTCTTGATCTTGTTCGTCCAACCAGTTTGTGAGCTCTGTGTCGTGTGTCCAATCGGTAGCAGATGAACCTAGAGATAAAAGGTACGGTCAGAAAAAGTTGAATAGTGGAAATAGTAGCTCGAAACAGGTAATCTGATGTTTCAGACGAACGAAGACTGAATTTGCAACTTAAAATGACCATAACACAAGATTTCTTCAACTAACACAACTTATCTCTACAAATAAGCCTACTGAGTAAAAAAAAGCTACCGATTATTCAAACTCAGCTGCCGACTTTGGCGAAAACGGGCAGAGAAAAGGTAAAACTAAAGAAAAAGAACCGTAAAGGTATATACATAGTTACTAAGTTAAAGAATTTAACTCACTCTCTCTTGAAAAGGATCCTGATCCTCTGTCACCAATAACTCCAGGGTGTTTGGGTCCGGTAACAACTCTGTTGAGCTACACAAAACAGAATACGTAGATTAAATATCACTGATAACAATACAAAAACTAAAAGATGAAACTGAAAAAAAAATAGTATCAGGTATATGCATGACCATGACAATCGTAGTGTTTGCAACTAAACTTTAACGCTAACCTTTGCAAAAGTTGTCGCAAGATCATCCATATCAGATAAAGATCCCAAACCTGCACCCTGGAATCATCAACATGTATCTATTAGTCAAACATCTTCAACCAATTTTTCTACTACAATGTATCATCAAGATGTTAGCTTTCAACATAGAAAACACATTACCTCTCCTTTATCAAACAAGTGATACTCATCATCATCAGCATGCCCAAGAACAGGAGCAATCACTTCATCATCGTCAAAACCTCCCAACGACATTTCGTCCAGATTCTGACCAAAAAACTCGTATTGAGATGCATCAAAGAGTGAACTATTTTGATCTGCAGAAACAAAAAACAAAAAACAGCCGTTTCAGCCAACAATGTTAGAAATGGGTAAAGTTCTCGCCTTTTAATCAAAGTCATTACACAATCATGTAGCAAAATCCAATCTTTTGAAAAAATATGCTTTTGAGTTCGAATTGGTTTAGCATTTAGGCATTGGAGCATAAGAACAACAACTAAGCAAAACAGGTTAATCCAGGACAAGAAACATCAGATCCCATACACATATAGTTTCTAGAGAAATCCCAATGGATACAAAATCAATCAAACACGAGTTTATAAGCTCAGTGACCTAGATCATACAACACACAACCCCCAGGTGCTTAGCTTAAATCCCATCTCCTTCAAAGCTTTCATCACTCGTAAACGAGCAAAGCAATACACAAACTCGGATCCAAAATCAGCTAAGCAGCTAAATCACGAACAAAAACAAAAACAAAAACAGAAAAAGGCGGGGACTGACCTGAGGAAGCGCGAACAAAGTTGTACAAATCCCTGGAATCGGATCTCTCCATGATCAACAATTAAAAACAAGAGGTTTGGGTTCGATAAAGCGAAGCTCTAGAAATCACAAACAAGAGGGCATAAAGAGAATCCGGTTCCCTCCCTTTTCTCCTCTAGGGTTTTCCTAATCTTTTGAGATGGGTGGCTTCTCAACGAGAGATATAACGACAAAAACAAAAAAAACAAAATTAAGAAGAAGGGTTGAGTTAAAAATCAGCTGAGATTGCTAGGGTTTTCAATTTGAAGAGATAAACGCAAGTAAAGTTGAAGGAAATCTCTCTCCGCGATAAAAAAAAAAAAGAGAGAGAGAGAGAGAGAGAGAGAGAGAGGGGAAGAGAGAATGAAGAAGAAGAAAGCAATGGCCTTTTTTTGTTTGTTCTGTTTCCTTCACCGTGTGTTACATCGACACATGACCTTGCCAAAGCAAATCCACACTCGGTTCTTTTTTTAATTAATCTACTATTTAGTAGATTTTTTTAATTTTATTTTAGTCTTAAATCAGTAAATGGTTATTAAGAAAAAATCCTGCAATGGTTATTGAGAAAATACAAAAATTTGTCATAACTAAATTAAAGAGAATTTATTGAATTTTGTAAGTGTCTCAAGATTTTTAAATGTTGTTTCCAAGTATTGATGAATACACCAAAAGAAGATTTATTACTATATATAAATTAAAATTGATATATGTACCTATATAGGGAATTTCCGAATAATTAGAAATACACTTTACAAAATATCTATAAAATTGTGAAATATTAAAAAAAAATTGTAATTATAATCGTTTATTACATAATCATTCACCTTGTTTACCGATGATAGACGGTAATAATTTATCAATCAACACACGAGACCACAATGTAGTTGGTTCAATAGTTAAAAGACTAGAGAACCTCAGAAAAAAAATTGTATTCGCATTACAAAAACAAGATTTGCATTATCTTTAAACCGAAGTTTAGAGCTAATATAAAGCACTTTCTTTTACTATCACTTGATTCTGCATAAATGATGCTTCTACGAGTCAACGAAAATTATACTTTCTTTTTTTAATGTCCGATCCCATTGATTCTTTTATTCTTGTGATTTTAAGGCCATTGCTTTACTTGTTTAAAACTCTAACCCAAAAAAAAAAAAAAATTATAAAACATTCAACACGTATATACCAAATTATAATAACTCTCAGGACAGGTGCTTGGTCCATGTGAATGTATTTCATCCGGTCGGTTCAAATCGATCTCATTATGGTCCACTTCTTTAAACTATAAATATTGTTTGCTGCTGTTACTTGTATTTTCGTTATGAAATGTTAAATAAAAATGATCACATATTTAAATAAACATATCTACGTTTACTCAACGAAAGTGTTGAGAGAGAGAGAACCAATGATGATAACAAAAGTGAAGTTATCGCAAAGTTCGCACACACTCTTGAGGAAGAAGATACAGACACTATACATACATAAGGAGATGAACCTCAAAATCCAATCCTAGAAGAGCCAATGCTTCCTTCTTGGCTTTCTTGTTGGAACATCTGGAAGAGTAACAACTACTAATTCAGACAAAATGGAGATTAAGATTCAGAGAAAGATATATTAGTGATGATGATGAGTTGATGGAAGAGACTGATGTTTACCTCCACTAGAGTATAGAGAATTGTAATGCACTTCGCTCCAGAAGCTAAGCCACGCCTCTGCAGAACAACAGTAGAAGGAATTGAAACGGTTAGGACTGAGTAAAGTTATTGGCTTAGAGCGAAAAAGACAGAAAGAGAGGTTTTTGGAACCTCTACGAGGGTTCTTGTTATGAGGTTGTATCTCGATGTAGGATTGTTCCCGAAAGGATGTGACTAAGCAGATCTTGGCTTCGAACTACAGTAATGCTGAGTCAGCGGCCAATCATTCAAGCAAATAAGAACGAAAATGTGAGCGAGTAAAAGGTGAAGTTTTGCGATGGTTCCTCAAGATCCGGTTACTCGAGAGAAGACAGAATCTCTCAGGTGTTATGTATAAACTGTTGTAGTTTTATAAGTAAACTCAAATGATTTAATTTAAAAAACTTACACGATCTGCCGCAGCTTGTAGAGTAAGGTGATCTCCCCATTCACCTAGTCTAGTCGCATCCAAAACATTATTGGCAAAAAGAATGAATCAGAGAATTGATTGTATCACTCTCGCTGATACAAGAACATATGCAAAAACAAAGATGTCTCACTTTTTCATCTTCCTCGTGTAATGTCTGTATTTCATTGGCACATATCCTTCGTATAACTTGCGTTGCTGTTTCAACTGAAAAATGAGCATGGAAGTCAGAATAATGGAAGAAATCTATTAAGAAGTATGTGGCCAAGACGTTTGAGATAAACCAAGTTCACAGGAGTTCACAACTAAGGAAATTAGTGTTTTGATGGTAATTTCAGGTAATGAGCCTTAAGTGCTAGAGCCAAGAAAAAAGTTACAGAGATTGAAAACCAAGTCACCAGAGAGAGAGAGGAAACAACAAAACATTCATCCCTAAAGGCACTGACTATCGATCCCAGAACAATCTATGAATTTGTGAACAAGAAACAGAGTTGCACTATGGTTCTCAGGACAGTACCTGCTTTACAACATGCTTCCTTACATGTTTATGGTAATCTGGATTGCGGAAAAGCTGGTCTGCTAAAGCTCGGAACTAACGAAACAAGTATAGCATATGATAAATCAAATTCAATACAATTTTTAATTTGAAGAATCCACAAAAAGGTCTAAATAGATGTTCCTAGTGAGGTACCTGGCAATTTCCATCTCCTTCCATTTGTAATTCAGATAACCCATATGTGGCCAACCTGAACAATAAGGAGCCACCATCAAACACGATCCAGATGGAAAGTTACAAGAACCAAGATCAAAGCAACTAACTTTTTTTCCATCTAAAGGTGTTTGACAAATGAAGAATTTAATCAGCATCACCAGATGAAGAATGCATTCAAGGATAGAATAAGAACCTCACAGAAAGCAGCTCATGGTCTAATGTTGCATCATTTATATCGGGTACTATCATGTTAACCCGAGGAGTGTGCTGCCAAAATACGAAATTCCACCAAGATACAAAGCAAAAGTTACTCTCAAGTGCAAAAGTTATTCAAAGAAGCTGTCACTAATAAAAACACATTAAGTAGAAGAAGTTTATCATACTGGGATTGAATCCAAATGAGACAGTCTCTTCCCAAGCATGCCTTCTCTTCTTGAGCCCTCATCTTCTGCTAGTATACGTGCAATGGTTTGATCATCATCTGTATCCGCCACACTGCTACTAAAACTCGAGTTCGAGCTCGCACTTGTACTTCCCCCTGCTCTTCCACTTGCACTTGCAAATGGGTTTCTACTGTGCTCATCCATGGTGTTTGGATTCTTAATATTAAATAGAACCTACGAAAGCAAAAACAAAGAGTATCTCTGATCAAGTTCTCGAATTGCGTAACAAAAAAAAAACATTTCAGGATGAGATCATAAGCTTTCTTCGGATCTAAAAGCCAAACCCACCAAAACGAAAAGATAACAATTTTCTCAATTTCGATCGCACAGATTTACATCAACCAAAATCAAAGATCACACTTATCAAATCACCCAGATTGAAACGAAAACCAAAACAAAGCTCAATTGCTATCACCGATCATGAAATGTTCAACACTACCAGAAACGAAAATTGCCCGAGATCAAAACCCCAAATTGTATTGATTTGATCAATCAAACAAAAATCAGATGATTACCAAAAAAAAATCAGAAACCTAAGAGAGACAGATACACTCGATTCGTTTGCTTGACTTCGAAAGCTCAATTTCAATTTCGGGGATTCAATCAGCCAAAGCGAGAGGGAGAGAGAAATCGTGGAAGAAAAGAAATCGACACCTAAGAGAGAGAGAGAGATTCTTCTTCTTCTCTCCGACGCGATCAGTGCAGACAAACAGAGAAAAAAAAAATGATTCGTTCGTTTCTTCTTCTTCGTGATTTCTTCAAGACTCGTTTTTGTCTTCTTTGGCGGTCAAAGAAAACGTCACCCGTACGTGTACTGCGCGTGTCTCAATTATTTTTAATTTTATTATATATTTTTTGGTTTTTAATATCGTATTTACAGTTAATGTTCGGTTTTGGTGACACGGGATAAGCGGTTTAATCGCTAGAAACATAACCACCATTTCTCGTCTGGTTCGGGATTCGGTTTTCTTTTCCGTTTATCGGTTTATAGATGCAGTGAAAATATTCCTAAACCAATTATATACTTTCCAAAGAAAAATTCGAGAAACAAGTGTTGGAAAAGTGATTCAAGGGACAAATAAGTGATATAATTTGAAAGTTTCTGAAAGTTGGAAGATATTGGGTGTGATATTATCATAACCAATATATTATCTTGCGTTGTGATTTTGGTTGGTGATTGGAAAATTATAATATGTTTCTACGCGAAATAGATGACCAAATCATTATGTGATTTTTTTTTTAATTTCAAAGCTGATACGCTTGACCTGTTCTAGTATATTTAGATGGGCGAGTATAACCAATCGTGTAAGATGAATACCAATATATGTGTGAATAGATAATTCATATGTTTTAATAACCAAAATTCTTCTGATATCAAATTATGCGATTCATTTTTTTATCATTTAAAAAGTGTATGAGAAAAACGTTGTCCAAAGGCAACGTGTAGCCTACTTATATAGTTTTCCCCAGCTCAAAAATGATTTGACTTGATTAATTTTACTTATGATGGGTATATATAGAGCTCTCCAAAGAATGATGTATTTATCGAATTGAGATTACTAGTGTCAAATATTTAAACTTCATTTATCAAAACATTTCTGATTCATTTTTTTTCCTGCTAATTTTTTGAAGTGAAAAACAATCAAATTGTTCAATCAAATCACAGCTGATCAAGTATGTAAATGAATATTATATGATATATAATCTTCTCCTCATCTGATCTCATCCTTAAAAATGGTAAAATTTGTATCCAAACACAAACGAGCTTCATCCCCCATTGCTCTATCTTTCAACTTCTTCAATCTCTCACCCATCTCTTTATCCTTCATTACTTTCCTCAGCACATGTTCAACCTCTTTCTCCCCGAACCCGCTCATTCTCACCCCAATCTTCCACACATCCACAATGTATGTACAGTTCACAAACTGATCTCCGGCCACCGGATAACACACTAGCCTCCGAGAACTTGCCACAGCCTATTGTACACAATATTGTATATGTATATAGTACGTATTAGAAACATATTTAATATAGTATATACTAATTCATGGACATTTATGGAAGCTTAGGTTTTAACTAGCTACTGGGTCAGTATGTACCTCCATGGTCGAGTTCCAGCCACAATGAGTCACGTAACAACCCACTGAGTCGTTTTTAAGAACTTCGATCTGCGGGGCCCACGGCACGATCCGTCCTTGGTTCTTGGCTATGGTGACTCTATGCACGAACCCTGGTGATAGTCCCTCTTGCCAAACCCGGTTTAGAGCCCAAAGGAAAGGTCTTCCTGACGCTTCCAACGCCAATGCTAACGTTCGAATCTTTGATTCTCCTAAAGGAGAAACCCAACTTCCAAACGAGATATAAACGACTGAGTTTGGCTTCTGTTCTTGGAGCCAAGCAAGACAAGATCTGTCTTCTTCCCAAAAGCTAGGGTTTTTGGTTAGAGTTATATTATTTGTTGCTGCTTTGTTATGCAATGGACCAACGTAAAGGATCCGAGTGTTTCGAACGTTGTTGAGAACTTTAGAGAACGTATCCTCATATTCGTCTTTGAAAGAGTTTACCAATATCCATCGGAGACTTTTTGCTCGTTCTAGGGTTCTCTGCCAAAACTTGAATCGTCCTTGTTGGGCTGCCGGAGTTCCGATCAGCCATAGTAGATCTCCGGCCGATAGGACCGGTTGCTCCGGTAAGACTAATGGTTTTTCTGGTTGACGTGGACAGCCTGCATACCAATGTTTCAACTGGACAAAATTAATATGCAACATTATAGAAACCACGATAAAATAACAAAAGAGACATGTATTATGTTTGACGTGTTCATATTTACATTCAAAGATTATTTGAAAATTACATGTGACTCATTAACATTTCTTTGCTTTTTAAACGTATTTTAAAAGAGATCGACGTAAGCTTCGCGTTACCACCCAGATATAACACGTAAGATGGATCAATCACACCAATCAGTTAATATCATATTTCTCTTTAATCGGTCTAAATATCTTATACTTTGCTTTCTATATATATTGGCATTATATTTTGAAATTGACCCAAAAATCATGCTCTATCCAAACTACGATCACACAGGTCATACTTATATGATACGATGACATTTGAGTCCAGTCAAGATGACAATGCCACTAGTCACTAGATAAATATTATATAATCCATGTTTCGTCCACTTGGTTGGTATTGTTAAATAAAAATTGTTGTAAAAATAATTTCATTACATCAAGTCATCAACTATATACATTCTGTATTTAACTTTAAAAATCAATGCATGTTTTACGTAGTTGATTTGTATACGGTACCGACGTAGTGATTTAGATAGGTTTCGGGTATAAAACTGTTTATATGTAAGTTATACTAAATGAGGTAAACTCTGATGCAATTTATACAACATGTGCGCATTTAAATTAAAGTTAGAACGTCTCTACGTGTTCTGTTCATTTGACTCCGAATGTATGCAGGTGGGCATTATTATTCGATAACGCAGCACCTTTTAGGCGCTCCATCTCATGTGAATGTCATTGGTGATTCAATTATAAAACCTTTTTTTGACTCGCGACATTATAACTTCCTAAAATATGTAAATTAGTATACTGTTCTATCAAAATGATGCAACTTACCTTTTTGGGAAACTATGCCGGTCCGTAGGAGCTCCGGTATGGCTTCGATCATACGGTAAGCAGCGAACATCACCGGCCAGAATCCCGCTACCGGAACACCGCACCGATCAGCCACTCTTATAGCCCAAGAAGCCAACAAATCAACCACAACACAAGCCACGCCCACGTCTTCTTCTAGTAGGAGCCGTTCGAGCTGAGAAGGCATGATGTTCTCCATCGACTTCTCTATCGAAAAGAAGTCCGAGGGAGGTGCATCCGGACGTTCTTGACCGTCGGATAAGGCCAAGAAAGTGATCCCAAGATCCTGGTTACTAGTCGAGATCCGACGGTGGATAGACTCGGGGGTCATAACGACACTGGAGAATCCACGGCTTAGAAAGGCTGACGCGAGGTGGAGCATCGGCGTAACGTGGCCTTGCGCCGGGTAAGGAATGAATATTATCTTAGGCTTTTGTGTTACTTTCATTTCTTTCAATTTCCTCGGAAACTATGATTTTGTGTTTTTGGTAATTGATAGTGCTTATGTTATTATAAGGAAGATGAGAGGCCACAAGATTATTAATTCAATTTTATTGCATACCATGCATGTGCTGTATTGACTCAACCTATCTGTAATTGCATGTAAATATATATATCAGTCGACTTCCCACAATATGAAGGTGTGTTCTCATAGTTTTAGTATAAGATATTTAATTATTAGAAAAGGCGGCCATAAAAATATGTAATTAATAGAAAAGATGACTCGAAGAATAATTTTCTAGGGAAGCTTTTCTAATCCAGTTGTTGGGCCGTTATACTTGTGCTTGTGCATTGGTCCTTTCACTTAATAACATATATGATTATAACTTTATCGACATGTTTCCGGTAAGGACCACCGTTTTGGTCATATATATCTTTAATTATCTACAATATATACATATATCACACGCACATATAATGTGAATTGGTAGTTGAAAAAAAAGAAATGTGAATGGGTAGTTTGCTGTAGCAATAACGGTGGCTGCATTAGAAAAAAAAAAAATTGTATGAAATGGGAATCATGTATTATATCGAATATGAAAGTATTAAGTAAGGTCAACAGTCGCATGGAGTAACAGTCCTCGATAAACATAGAGAAGGGCATGTTGATACCAGCGATCCGAAAAAGATCCTAAAACTATACATATCAAATCTTCCTGATTAATTCTCTATTAAACTTATATTTAATCACATATATATTAAAGAAACTATAAATTTTTACGATACATAATGTAACATATCTATATACAATATGATATGAATGATGAGATTAACCAAGAACTGTTAGGTTAACTGATAAAACATAAAACGCAAAATTTATAAATTAAACAGTAACATTTGCAAACACACATGAAAGCCTTTTAACTAAAAAAAAAAACCATTTGCAAACATACCAGATAATATGGTCTGATTCTTGACAAAATAGAAAAATACGTTCTGATTCTGAGTCTTGAAGATATATACGTACCAGTTTCGGATCTAAAACTTTATATAAACAAAAATTATGAAAATTCCTAATATATTACATGTTTGTCAGTCAGTTCGAATGTTCTAATCGCACATATATAACGTACATCGAACTTATATTAGCATACCAATGACTTTACTTTTTTGGGGGGTCAAACCCATAAGTTAACTTAAAAAGCAGTTGTTAGGTCAATAAGCAAACTAATTGATATTATGCATATTAATTCAAAAGGTTATTCTAATATTTTAAAGTACAAATATGAATAGCTGATTATTAGCTGGATTAAGAGATTAAAAAGCCGTTGAAGAAGGAGATCCATAGTAGAGGATCAAGCTGTTGTTTACGGAGTTATAAATGCAGATCCAATCACGTATCAATATACGTTTGTTTTATTAAATGGGTTACAAATCAAAATAGAATCGATACAAAACAGAAACTAATTTAATGATTTCTTCTTCTTGCTTGAATGAACAGAGTAAAGTCGATAGAGACTTGCAAATCGCAATCTCCTAAAACAGAATTTCGCCCCTACTATGGCGTGAGTAGCTTCAATGGACGTCTATCTTGCATGATACAACTATCGATCTCTGTATTGATACCTTACAGAGATCCTAGCAAACCTACTTTGAGATTTCCAGAAACTGATCTTAGAGAAAAAGAAGATTGAATTAATTGTCTATCGTTCTCTC